ACAGTGCCACGGCACTACACTATTGCTATCATCAGCCTGGACAGTGCATGGCACTACACTATTGCTATCAGCCTGGATAGTGCCACGGCACTACATTATTGCTATCATCAGAGGATCAGTGATGCCACTACAGCAATGCCAAGACATTTTGCTGAATAACATGGACTTAGAAGCTAAAAAAAAAAAAATCACTGCCAAGCACCTTTCTCACATTCGGTTTTCTTCAGATGATAGAAAATTTCTGGTAATTTTAAAAGGGGAGAAAAACACCTTCAAAGGATCTCCCCTTTATCCACCTTTATCTAGAAACAATACAAGATCAGTTTCTCTTCAACCAGTTTTCCACTGTAATTACACAGATAAATAGGCAATGGGTTAATTCTGAACTAACTTACAGAGGTTTGCTTTGTTTTTGAGACAGAGTCTCGCTCTGTCACCCAGGCTGGAGAGAAGTGGCATTTGCTCTGCTCACTGCAACCTCTGCCTCCAGGGTTCAAGCAATTTTCCTGCCTCATCTTCTGGAGTAGCTGGGATTACAGATGCGCACCATCACACCCAGCTGATTTTTGTATTTTTAGTAGATATGGGGTTTCTCCATGTTGGCCAGGTTAATCACAAACTCCTGACCTCAGGTGATCCACCCACTTCAGCCTCCCAGAGTGCTGGGATTACAGTCATGAGCCACTGCGCCTGGCCAATTTGCAGAGGTTTTTAAAGAGCACTTTGGATTTTATTAGAATTACCATGTCCAGTTTAGGATTTACAAAAGCCAGTCTATTGTACTGTCTTTCGGAAGTACTTTTTTAAAAGACTAAATGCTCCAGAAAATTATTAGTGGAATACAGACTTCTTTAATTCTGCTCTTCAGTAAGTCTTTTTAAGTGGCATGTGTTCCAATTATTAGTGAATGCTGTTCTTAAACGGACTGCCTCTATGGGCAGGAAGGCATGGACAAGCAGGTGAGTTGCTGCCATCTACTGACAAGTGATGGTAACAGCAAGTGCTTTTTTTTTTAAAGCATCCGGGGATCTTTTTTGCCATCATCTTACCCATGTGCCCTCCATCAGTCAGGTGAAAGTAGAAGCGTTCATTTAAGACTCTCAACTTATTGGATTTCTTGCTTTATTTTCTTTTTTTGAGTCGAGGGTCTCTCTCTGTCACCCAGGCTGGAGTTCAGTGGCTCACTGACGCCTCAAACTCCTAAGCTCAAGCAATCCTCCTGCCTCAAGCTCCTGAGTAACTGGGACCACAGGTGCACGCCACTACAAGTTACTGGCTAATTTTTAAATTATTTGTAGAGATAGGGTCTCACTATGTTGCCCAGGTTAGTCTCAAACTCCTGGGCTCAAATGATTCTCCTGCCTCGGCTTCCCAGAGCGCTGGGATCACAGGTGTGAGCCACCATGCCTGGCCAAAAGTCTCAGCGTATTAGCAGGGCTATTCATAGAAGGCAAAACACATTGTGTGATACCATCTACAGCATCTTTATATGGGTAAAATCACGTTTAAATAGATATAAAAACAACCCAGAACACAAAGGTTATAAATAGCAACTCAAGGAGGCTTAGGTACCAAGGGACCCATTTGCCATATGGATGTCTTTGTGTGGGAAGGACCCTAGGGCTGACAGCTGTTTCTGGACCAGCTCAACACAATTTTTTCCTCTCGTCTGCATCTACAAAGTCACTGGGTAAACAGGGAGGAACTGTTCGTGTCTTCTTCCATCTCTATTTAAACACTTTGAAAGCAGTACCTTCTTTTTTAAAAACATTGAGAAACATAACAAAAAAATTAAAATCACATATAATTGTTCCACCTAGAGCTAAGCTTTGTTAAAATTATTGTAAATATCCAACCAGCTTTTCTGTGCGCACATGCTGCCTGCCAAGGTGTGTGATCTTTTTTACATCTTTTTTTCTGTATTACAAAATAAATATATGATCTTTTAAAAAATCAAAAACAATCACTTAATGATAAAAATTTAACTTTCTCCTTAATTCTACCCTACCAGAGATAATTATTTTTAACAGTTTGGCATGTTTTTCTACACTTTTTCCCCTGGGGACCCATTTCTACATAGCTGAGGTCATAATTTATATAAGGTTTTCTGTCCTGCCTTTTTTCTTTTTATACTTAATATTACATTATAAATCTTGCCTTTAATTAAAAGTTCACTCCAAATATTTGTACTGAATTTTTTTTTTTTAGATGGAGTCTCGCTCTATTGCCCAGGCTGGAGTGCAGTGGCGCAATCTCAGTTCACTGCAACCTCTGCCTCCCAGGTTCAAGCGATTCTCCTGTCTCCACCCCCAGATAGCTGGGACTATAGATGCTCACCACCATGCCAGGCTAGTTTTTGTATTTTTAGTAGAGACAGGGTTTCTCCATGTTGGCCAGGCTGGTCTCGAACTGCCAACCTCAGGCAATCCACCTGCCTTGCCCTCCCAAAGGGCTGGGATTACAGACGTGATGGCTCACGCCTGGCCTGTACTGAATTCTTAACTGGAATTCTTATTATAAAATTTTATCTTTTTCCCTTCAAAACATTTTAAAAGGATAAAGATTTTTACCCATTTTTGTTAAATTTTTTTGGTTCCTTGAATAAAATATCTACAAAAAGACTGGACGAAGCCAGAGTTCCTGAGATGGCCTAGGCAGGTGGCCATCTAGTCAGACAAGCTTTGTCTCTGCTGCTGCACCAGAGCGAGATCTCAAGTTGAGCAGATTCAGGTAGACAGGACTTGCTGGATGGCATGGCAGAAGAAAAGTCCCATCTTTCTTTTGGGGTCGTATCATTGGGTTGGTTGGATTGATTTTGCTTTCTTAATCACTAGCTTTGTGTAAGTAATAATCTATCTTCAGGGATTTCATAACATAGTAAATTGTGTCATTACACCAGATAAAAAGCGTAAACACAGGAATGTGTGAATTGGGGGGCAGCAAGGGAAATAACTGCATGGAATCTGAACTCAAATGGGAGGCACTTAAAAATCACACATTTTAGGACAGAAAGAAAAATAGGAAACCAGATTATCTTCATGGGAATATGTTGGATAAATAAATAAATCTATCTTTCTGGACCTAATACCCTGACTCTGGAATCTGGCTGTATCTTAAATCAGCCCAAGATATGAGCTCTAGCCCTCACTTGCCCAGCCTCCCTGCCCTGGAGGCCACCTCTTCCATCACCCCCTCCAGGACAGTTTTCTTTACCTATGATAGAAGGAACCCCCTCCCAAAAAACAGCCATTCCCCAGGAATGGCCCCCAAAAATGTTATGTGAGTTTGCACAAAGTTGTGACACTTTATCTGAACTCCTTTTAACATCCCAGTATGTGTCTATAAAGGGGGGAAATCGTTCTGCACCTTACTTCCTAACTGCTTGGTTACAGGTCTGGCTGGCTTCGCACGCCTCTGTCCTGGAGATCAATATGAAGTAAGTATTGTCTTGGTCTAGGTGCTGGAATTACAGACCTGAAGGGTAGAAGCCAGTTATTGTTTTGCTTCTCAAGTTCTTTTTTTTTTTATTTTTAATTTTGAAAAACATTATAAGCCAATGAAAAAGTCTGGAAACTGGTAAAGGACTTGTCATACACCCTTCCATCTAGATCTTGGCTCACTGCAACCTCCGCCTCCTGGGTTCTAGCTATTCTCCTGCCTCAGCCTCCAGAGTAGCTGGGATTACAGGCGCACACCACCACTCACCCGGCTAATTTTTTTGTATTTTTAGTAGAGACAGGGTTTCACCAAGTTGGCCAGGCTAGTCTTGAAGTCCTGACCTCAAGTGATCCTCCCACCTTGGCCTCCCAAAGTGCTAGGATTACGGTGTGAGCCACCGCGCCCAGCCCCTGAACCATTTTAGAGCAAGATGCAGACACCAGGACTCTTCACCCCTAAATTCTTCTTCTAAGAATGGAGGGGCATTCTCTCACATAGGCATAGTCCTCAACACCAGTGAGCCTGACATCGGCTCTTCAGCTAATGTCTGGGATTACTCTATGTTGCTATTTTGCCAGTTGTCCTAATATTGTACTAGGTAAGCAGGGTTTTTTGGGTTTTTTCTTTTTCCTGATTCAAGAGCCAATCCAGGATCGTGGCTGATCATAAGTACCATGACTGAAGAAAAATAACATCTAGGGCTTTCTTTGTAAAAATGTACTCCGAAAAGTAAAAACAGCCTTTGTTCTTTTCCCTCTTCAAAAGGAAACTTACATAACCATTTCATCTAACATCTCCTCCAAAACCCTCTATACTCACACCTCTTAGCAGGGGAGAGGCTGTATCTTCCCGTAAACATTAAAGCAGTCTTGCCAAGGAGATACTGCATACCTTCCCCCAAGAGAATGTTGGATTTCAAAGTCCTTGCAGCCCCACCTCCCTATCCAGAGCAAAGATGTCTTTAATTCTTGCTTCTGACCGCTAAGTAGGTTTTAGCTGATACTTCCTAGTCCCGCTAAAGGAGCTGGGTTGTGTGGAGAATTAATCCCAGTGGCTGCCCTACTGAAGTAGAACAAGAGAGAGAACTGTTTGGCATGAGTGAACATAAGAACACAGTGCAATGACCTTTCACTACAGAAAACCTGTACCCCACCCCCCGTCTTAGAGAAGCAGAACTTGCTGTGCTTTAGAAGTCTTGGGCCGGGCACAGTGGCTCACGCCTGTAATCTTAGCAACTTGGGAGGCCGAGGTGGGTGGATCACCTGAGGTCAGGGGTTCGAGACCATCCTGGCCAACATGGTGAAACCTTGTCTCTACTAAAAATACAAAAATTATCTGGGTGTAATGGCACATGCCTGTAGTCCCAGCTACTTTGGAGGCTGAGGTAGGAGAATTGCTTCAACCCAGGAGGCAGAGGTTGCAGTGAGCCGAGATCATGCCACTGCACTCCAGCCTGGGCAACGGAGCGAGACTCCAACTCAAAAACAAAAAAGTATATTCCCCAGTCATCCCTAGCTCCATCTCACCCAGAGTAAGGGGACTGAGGGAGAGTGAGGGAGAAGGGGAGGGCGGCAGTGGCTTTAGGTCTTTGTCCTTTTGATCTTGCTGTTCTGGTGGGGAAGGGCAGGTGGCAGGACCTGAGGGCCCTTGGATGTCTCCCCTCCAGATTTTCATGAAGTATGGCCGGCAGCGGTGGAAACTGAAAGGCAAAATAGAAGTAAACGGCAAGCAAAGCTGGGATGGAGAAGAAACCGTTTTTCTGCCCCTGATAGTTGGGTTCATCTCCATCAAGGTACAGTACTGTCACTGCCTGCTGCCTTTCCTGCTGCCATGGCTGGATGATCTGTTGGTGGGGCCTTTACCCGCGACCCCTGCCTGTCACCCTCCATCCTGCAGACTTTTCTGCACTACACATCTGTTACAAAGACAGCCGCTCTCGCATCACAGTGGGTAAAGTCAATCTAAGATACGCTTTTGACATAGCCACCCCTGGCCAGGTGCAGTGGCTCATGCCTGTAATGCCAGCAATTTCGGAGGCTGAGGTGGTTGGATCACTGGAACCCAGGAGTTTGAGACCAGCCTGGCCAGCATGGCAAAACCCCATCTGTACAAAAATACAAAAATGAGCCAGGCATGGTTCACATGCTTGTAGTCCCAGCTACTTGGGAGGATCACTTGAGCCTGGGAGGTAGAGGCTACAGTGATCCATGATCACGCTACTGCACTACAGCATGGGTGACAGAGTGAGACCCTGGTATCCAAAATATCTATCTCCAATTTCAGATATGATTCTGAAAGTAATGACCAACCTAGCTCAGTAAAAAAGAAAAATGACACATTATCCTACCTTTCCCCTCCCGCTCTCTCTCTGCCAGGTCACGGAGCTCAAAGGGCTAGCAACTCATATCCTGGTAGGTAGCGTGACCTGTGAAACCAAAGAGCTGTTTGCAGCCCGACCTCAGGTGGTGGCTGTCGACATCAATGACCTTGGTACCATCAAACTGAACCTGGAAATCACCTGGTAGTAAGTGCCTCTTGCTTTTTGATTTCATCATATAGAAACAGCTGCTACCAGCTAGTGCTATTCAAAGCTGGTGCATGGACCACCTGCCTCACCAGGGAGCCTGTTAAAAAAGCAGAATCTCGGGCCCCACCCCAGAACTACTGTGTCAGAATTGCGCAGGCCCCAGAATCTGTTTAACACACTCCCTGGGTGAGGTGCACGCGTGTTACAGTCGGAGAAGCCTGGGTCATAGCACTATTCTCCTCTTCTACTTCCTATTTTAAAATATTTTGTCTCTCACCTTCCTTCCCTCTCTACTTTTAAATATATAAAGAAATATGTCCTCTTGCCGGGTGCGGTAGCTCACGCCTGTAATCCCAGCACTTTGGTAGGCCAAGGCGGGTGGATCACGAGGTCAAGAGATCGAGACCATCCTGGTCAACATGGTGAAACCCCGTCTCTACTAAAAATACAAAAAATCATCTGGGCATGGTGGCGCGTGCCTGTAATCCCAGCTACTCAGGAGGCTGAGGCAGGAGAATTGCCTGAACCCAGGAGGCGGAGGTTGCGGTGAGCCGAGATCGCGCCATTGCACTCCAGCCTGGGTAACAAGAGCGAAACTCCGTCTCAAAAAAAAAAAAAAGAAATATGTCCTCTCAAGTAAACTAATTTGAAAGAAAATATCTGTCTAATAGGTGGTACTTCAACCTCAGAAAAATCCTAATTCTCACTATGATGCTTTAAATGCTTATTCCTCTTTATCTCATAACTTCACGCTGCTCTGGAAAATTCTAGGCATCCTTAGTTCCTCTGCACTGCATTTAATGAAATGGAATATTCCCAAAGGGCAAGAGATATCTTTTGTCAAAGCAATGAACTTAGAAATGGCTTTCCAAAGTCACCCCGTGAGAAAGGTCATGATAAATTATTAACACTAGTAGCTCATGTTTAATATAATGCCCCTGGCATACTGCCGAGTAAATATGACATGTTGAGTACTCATGTCAACATCTCATCTACAATATACAAAGTCAGGTGTGGAAGCAGCAAAGACGCTTTGCCCAGCCTTTCCCTCCTCGTCATCTGCAGTCACTGACGTCTCACGCGCAAGATCATTCTCCTTTGGATGAATCTGGTGTCGTGATGTTAAGTGGCATCACTGTGAACAGACTGTTATTTTCCTCCCACACAAGAGGCTCTGTGTCAACTGAAATGAGTGGGATTCTATTTTTGACTGTTTTCTTTAGAACTGAACAACAGTCTGTCGATGTATCATTAAGGCATCTATCCCCACAAAGCTCAGATAATTTTTATAGACTTTTTCAACGTCTTATGTTGAAGCAAGCATTCCTAAGTTTGTTTCGAGTGTTAATGAGGAACACGTGTGTCTACGTGTACAGCTAAATTGTGCTTACAGCTGTGATAATAATCTGGAGTCCCTTGGGTGAATCTAGACTCAGTTTTCTGCTCCACTTTTCTTTTATCCGGCTTTATTTTCTACTAAACAGTTTAGCCAAAACCAGCCCCGTTCCCTCTGGTTGAGTTTACTTTCATATAACGAGGTACTCTTCCGGCCCGCGGTCTGTGGATGATAAGTGATTCTACCGAATGTGCATACCTGGGGACCTGTTGTTTTGCAGTCCGTTTGATGTGGAGGACACGACCCCATCCTCAGGCGCTGGGAACAAGGCGGCAGCCCTTCAGAGGAGAATGTCCATGTACAGCCAGGGTACCCCGGAAACGCCCACCTTCAAAGACCACGCCTTCTTTGTAAGTTCAGTGTAATTTCCCGAGTAGAATCAAAGCACCTGAGCCAGTGCTCACACCCAGCCTTTGAAATGCTTAAGAGACAGAGCTGGGAGTTCTCAATAATTCTATCAGAGGTGGTGAGCCCCCTCTGCTGTTCCTCTCCCCTTGCCCACCTTGTGTATCACTGTGATGGTAACATGTAGGTTTTTCTGAACACTCTCTAAGGTCAGCCTTTTAAAGAAGTGGATATAAATAATCGCCTCCTTGTTTTCATCAAAAATACTTGCTGAAAAGCTAACAAAACGTAGTAACCTGATTCTTCTCACTAATGCCCCCATCTTGCTTTCACTTCTGAAGAGGTGGCTGCATCCTTCCCCAGACAAGCCAAGGCGGCTGTCTGTCTTGAGTGCCTTGCAAGACACGTTCTTTGCCAAGCTGCACCGCAGCCGCTCCTTCAGTGACCTGCCCTCCCTCAGGCCAAGTCCCAAGACTGTGCTAGAGCTCTATGTGAGTGTGGCCTGCCCGGGTGTGGAGTGCTTGACTTCGGGGGCTTGTGGCATGTGTGACTCAGCATGTCTCCTTTTATCTTCTCTGTCTTTCTTACTGGGTAGGGGTCACAGCTGTACTGTCCTTGGGGCGGGAAACCTGGTTGTGCATGCCACATTGGTAGAGAGGCAGTTTGTCCTTCTCTTCTAACGGTCCCTGTTTTTGTGCTGTGATTTTTCTCCATTGTGGCAAAGATATCCATGGTAACAAGATTTTAAACAAGTTTAAGCCTTTCAAAAACTGGCATTCAGCCGGGCACAACGGCCCACACCTGTAATCCCAGCACTTTGGGAGGCCGAGGCAGGTGAATTACTTGAGCTCAGGAGTTCAAGACCAGCCTGGCCAACATGGTGAAACTCCATCTCTACTAAAACTACAAAAACTAGCCAGGCATGGTGGTATGCACCTGTAGTCCCAGCTACTTGGGAGGCTGAGGTGAGAGGATTGCTTGAGCCCGGGAGGCAGAGGGTGCAGTGCCACTACACTCCAGCCTGGGTGACAGCAAACTCCATCTCAAAAACAAACAAACAAAAAACTGGCACACAAACTCAGAAGGATTTCAATGAATTTTACTAGAGTTCCTTCTATCTGAAAGATTCTCAGTCTTAGTTTAGTGTAATGTTTGTTAATTCTATAACACTTTGACAGAAGCCCTTAATTCGCAGTCAGGAATATAATAAGTAATCTACATGACATGCATTACACATTATGTCACGAGAGGATACACACACACAGGCACGCACACACACATCCATGGAATATCCTGCTCTTCACAGACGTATAAAAGGAAGCTCTGCGTGTCAACAGAGGAAAGGATTAAAAGTCTTCGGGTTAATAATAATAATAATTGCATCTTTTTCATCGAATTAGAAAATAGAGGTGAAGGCTGAGCATGGTGGCTCACACCTGTAATCTCAGCACCTTTGAGGCCAAGGCAGGTGGACTGCTTGAGCCCAGGAGTTCAAGACCAGCCTGGGCAACAAAGTGAGACCCTGTCTCTACATAAAAATTAGCCTAGTGTGGTGGTGCACACCTGTGGTTCCAACTACCTAGGAGGCTGAGACAGGAGGATCACTCAGGCCCAGGAGGTTGAGGCTGCAGTGAGTTATGGTTGCAGCACTGCAGTCCAGCCTGGACGGCAGAGCAAGACCTTGTCTCAAAAAAAAAAAAAAAAAAAAAAAAAACCGCAGGTGAAAAGGACGAGGCTAAACTCTGGTGGAGCTTTAAAGGAAAAGGGGAAGCATATATGAGGAAAATATGAATGAAAACATGAACCATAACACAAGAGTCAACACAACTATACAAGCATTAACATAATGTGTATATTCATGCTCATGTGCTCCAGGTGGAGGGTTGTGGGGAGAGTTAGCAGAGGTTTCATGCCATCATTTCAGTAAGAACAAGGTTAGACACAACTGGATGGCTTCCTGAAGCCTTTTAGATAAATGCAAAGGTCCTCAGAGCGGCTGTTCCCATCAGACCACAGCCCACCACAAGCCCATCTCACTTTTCCACTCTCTATCCTCTGCTGGGGCCCCTTGGAGCTTCTTAGTGTCCTCCAGATGCACCACCTCCTTTCAGGCGGTCATGTCTTTGCTCGTGGTTCCTTCTAGAACACTTCCTCTGGTGCCTGGCCCCCACCTCACTATCCTCCACGCTGAGCGCCAGGATTGGCTGTTTCTCAGGCAGCAGCCACGCCCTCCCTGGGGCCCTTCCATCATGACGTCATCCCTCAGTCCAGCGTGCGCGCCACTGCGCTGCTGTGTGCTCCTTTCTTGCACTGTCCCCTAGGTAGACTGCAAGTCCCCTTGGGCAAGGCATCTCCGCTTATTCTCACTCAGTATTTGCCACTTAAGTAGGTGCAAATTAGGCTTGGAAATTGGGCTTGAGTCTTGGGGACTCAAGAGAAATGGCTGGGAAGGACTTTGGAATTTGAATAAGAATCCTGACTACCCAATCTCCCTGCCATAGCCAGTGTCTCCCACCTCCCTCAGTGCTGCCATGAGATGTGTGTACAGATCAGATGAGACTGAGTGGGACCGCATGGAGGGCCCACGGGTTCTGGAAGCCTAAGGGACCCCTATGGAAGAGGTCTAGGGAGAAGACCCCAGGCACCCCTCATCCCTCCCCATAAAGATTCCTTTTATCTTTCCTAGAGGCATAAGGTGTGAGGTAGGGGGTGCAACTATGGGAGGGAAGAAGCTGAAATACACAAACTGGGAGGAGAGGAAGAGCAGCACCAGAGCCCAGTGCCCCAAAGCATTGCGGACCACAGTTCAATAATCACTAATGGAGTAAAGCATCCTCAGTTTTGGAGGTAAAAAGACTGAGCCTGTGGAGATTAATCAAGTGGCCAGTGACACATTATTTTACTCGTCCTGTGGTTAAAGTGAATCACCTTCCAACCATCCTACAATAGACAGTTAGCGTGGAACAAACTGTATGTGTCAGGATCTAGTGGCCTCAGATACAGTAGCAATGGGACCAGGGACCCAGCCGGAGGAGGACGGGGAGCCTTTGTCTTCCTGTCTGCTCCTCACTGCATTTGATGTAACATTTTTATTTGCCAGGCTTATTCCCAGCAAATTGTGAGAATTTGTCATTTTCTATATAATTAAAACAAGTATTAGGGCCAGGCGCAGTAACTCATGCCTGTAATCCCAACACTTTGGGAGGCTGAGGCAGGCAGATCACAAGGTCAGGACACCGAGACTATTCTGGCCAACATGGTAAAACCCCATCTCTACTAAAAATACAAAAAATTACCTGGGCATGGTGGCACACACCTATAGTCCCCGCTACTCAGGAAGCTGAGGCAGGAGAATTGCTTGAATCCAGGAGGCGGAGGTTGCAGTGAGCCAAGATCACACCACTGCACTCCAGCCTGGGTGACAGAGAAAGACTCCATCTCAAACAACAAAACAAAACAAAGTATTAGCATGATACTTAGCATTTACTTTAAAAACCAAATCTGAAATCTAAGAAAAATTAATCATTTTGGGCCAGGCACAGTGGCTTACACCTGTAATCCCAGCACTTTGGGAGGCGAAGGCAGGCAGATCACTTGAAGTCTGGAGTTCAAGTCCAGCCTGGCCAACATGACGAAATCCCATCTCTACTAAAAAAAAAAAAAAAAAATGAAAAAACACAAAAATTAGCTGGGCATGGTAGCGCATGCCTGTAGTCGTAGCTACCTGGGAGGCTGAGGCAGGAGAATCACTTGAACCCAGGAGGTGGAAGTTGCAGTGAGCTGAGATCGCACCATTGCACTCCAGCCGGGGAAACAAGAGAAACACTCTCTCAAAAAAAAAAAAAAAAAAGAAAAAGAGAAAGAAAAATGAACCATTTTGAAGGGTTAATCTCAATAACTAAAAAGCCCTTTTCCCAGAGCAGCATTTGGCATTTAGGCATTATGCACAGACCACAGCACAAGGAGAGCTGACTGAGAAATGGAAATGCCTGAATAAACGAACGATCTTGGTTACCTGGATATTTCTGACCTCTCTCTTCAGAGTTCTGCTTCATGAAGCACAGGGCACACCTATGACACTGCCTGGGTCTGTGTGACAGACGACTCGGTGTTTCTAGGCACCCCGAGAGCCCTGGGGTTTGCCTCTGCAAGACTGATGTTGGATTTATCAGTCTTTTCCTCTTATTTCTAGAGAAGCTATGCAAATTTATGGCTGGCCGTGAATTATTTATGGCATGCTTACTAAATTAATAAAACATTTTCCAGAGCTTGGGATTTGTGGGTAGAGATTTTCAAAAAAGTAATTTTTGAGAATTGAAGCAGAACAAAACATCACATCTTTGGAACTAAATTGCATGGATGTTGGAAAGTTTTTTAAGATACATGCCTAAATAGAAAAAGAAGTCGGTAATGTTATTCGTACTGTGGCTGCCAAATATTATGAACTCTTGGAATTCAGAAAGCGAGTTCCATCCCCCCATGCAATCTTTTCTTTTGAAAAATGTCAAACCTTGAGACTACTGCCATGAACTTTCACCTAGATTCAACAATAGAAACAGTTCTTGATGGTCTGCTTTCTTTTGCCAGACAGACACAGACACACACAGACACACACAGACACACACACACACACACACACACACACACACACCAACTAATAACATGCTAATATTATGAAAGTTCTGGGTTTCTTCATTGTAACTGCCTTACATTCACCTGGGAATAGACCATGCCAGGCCAAATGCATCACGGGTATTGAAAATAATAATGAGGTATCTTTTATCTGCAGTCGAATCTACCTGATGACATCTTTGAGAATGCAAAGGCAGCCGAGGAGAAAATGCCACTGTCGCTCAGCTTCAGTGACCTGCCCAATGGGGACTGTGCCCTCAGCTCCCACTCAACAGGCTCCCCTTCCAACTCAACAAATCCAGAAATTACCATCACCCCTGCGGAGTTTAACCACAGCAGCCTGTCCTCCCAGAATGAGGGTACGGATGATACCAGCTCGACATCCTCCAGGAACTCCTTGGGAGATGGCCAAGAGCCAAAGTCACACGTGAAGGAGGAAGACCCAGAGGAGCCCCGGAAACCTGCCTCGGCCCCGTCGGAGGCTTGCCGCCGACAGTCCTCGGGTGCTGGGGCTGAGCACCTGTTCCTTGAGAACAACGTTGCGGAGGCACTTCTGCAAGAGTCCGAGGAGGCCTCTGAGCTCAAGCCCGTGGAACTAGACACGCTGGAAGGAAACATCACGAAGCAGCTTGTCAGGAGACTCACATCCGCAGAGGTGCCGGTGGCCCCAGACAGGCTGCTCTCTGAGGGCTCTGTGGGTGGAGAACCCGAAGGCTGCAGATCCTTCCTAGATGGAAGCTTAGAGGATGCCTTTAATGGGCTTTTCCTCGCATTAGAACCACACAAAGCGCAGTATAAAGAGTTTCAGGATCTGAACCAGGAAGTCATGCATTTGGATGATATTCTGAAAGTAAGTACCTTTTCCGAGAAATTGGATTAGGTTTGGAGATAGGTGTCCTAAGCCAACATTCTATTTAAGAGGATGCATCCTTTAAAAAAAAAAAAAAGGATTAATAGCTCATCATCATTTTAAATGTACATGCATTTAAAATGGCCAGTAGTGCATATGAATTTTTATTTTCCTGACAACAGATCAACTTATCTAAATTGATTAGGATTGAAACAGAGCTCTAGATAATGTTGAAATTACCCCAGTCCCCAAGCTAATCATTCTAATCCCAAATGTGAAAGAGTGGCACTTTCATGATCACAGTCTCACAGCTGTTACTCCTGGATGGGATCCTTCTCAGGGTGTCAGGAAAGCAGGGCGCCCTTTCCCTGGTTGGAGTCAGAGTTCTCCAGCCCCATCGTGAGAGCTGGGAGCCACTGCATGCTGGAGGAGTCTGCCTGCTCTCACAATTGGTCCAAATAACCAAGTCAGAATCTCAGATTAATCGTCAGAGAAATAATCATCTGTTCTACTTTAGAAGCAGGGATCCACAGACTCACCAGAGATACCCTCTTCGATCTGTGGGGTCAGACAGCACAGGGTGGAGGTGGAAGGGCAAGATGAGAGGGGTGATTTCCTCCCAGGCGGGAGGTCCCGATAATGAGATCATTATTGCTGCATCAGAATTTATCTGTCTCCTCCCACGCATAGATTAATTTTTTTAAAAAAGCACTGTAGAAGAAGACAGACTTGAATTGTCCCAAATCTCACTGCCACTCCTTGTGCTCTTTGCCGCTCTGATTTATACTGTCATATAAAAGAAAAGAGAACTCTGATCCTTTTTCTTAAAAGAGCAGCTCTTCAGAGACCTGGTCTGTAAAAAGGCTTGAAAGTCAGGTTGCAGGGCCAAGCTGAGAACTAACCCACGGAAGGCTGTCGCATTTCTCTCTAAGACTGTTTTCCTGGCTGGGCGTGGTGGCTCAGGCCTGTAATCCCAGCACGTTGGGAGGCTGAGGCAGGAGGATCACTTGAGCCCAGGAATTAGAGACCAGCTTAGGCAACATGGCGAAACCCCACCTCTACCAAAAATACAAAAATTAGCCGGGCATGGTGGCACACACCTGTAGTTCCAGCTACTTGGGAAGCTGAGGTAGAAGAATCACTTGAGCCAAGGAGGCAGAAGGTTTCAGTGAGCCGAGATCACAGCACTGCACTCCAGCCTGGGCAAAAAAGTGAGACCCTATCTCAAAGGAAAAAAAAGAACATGACGACTGTTTTTCTATGTGGCCTGCCCAGTGGCATCTTAAACTACATTTCCAAGGCTTTTTGACCATCCTATCCTCTACTCTGTCCTGCTGATCTAAGCCTGGAGGAGATTTGTCCCCAAGGCAGATGATAATGCAGCCCTGACTCTCCAGGTCCTCAAACGTTCATGACAGATTAGTTCAGCTCATGGCTTAGCCTCGGAGAAACAGAAGGGCACTGTCAATCTGCTTTCTGTAAAATATTTGATCCAAAAGCATCTGCTCAGGGCTTGTACGTGCAGGCTGCTTGTCTTGTATTCCACTGAACACCTATCTTTTCTGCACAGTTGACCAGCTTTGCTTTGTGAGCAAAAGGTATTCATTTCAAAGAGGTATGACACAGATGGATGCCATCTAAAGTGAATTCCTTAGAGAAATCCCGTAGTGACAGCGGCTCCCATTCCAGGCATCTAGGGTGCTGATAAGTAGCTCAATCCACAAGAAACACTAAACATCTATTAGTCTTATTAAAAACTGGCGACCAGAGACTTCTTTCCAGAGCATTATTTCGGTCTGCTGTTGTTCCAAAATTGTCCTGCTACTAAAATCCTCAACTGCCCCTTTCTTTGTCATAACCAATGTTTAAACGCATCCATACTGTAAAAGATCATTGTGCAGACAACTTGCTTAGGAAAAAAGACCCTGAAGTGGGTTAAGTCCAGACTGACTCCCTCTCTCCCCCGAGACTGCTGAAAACATCACTAGTGAGTGTGTTTAGGTCTGGGGCAAATGGCTTTGTATCCGGCCAGAATTTAAGCATCAGCTGGACAAAGCTTTCTCTTTTTTCCCTCCTTCACATTCCTAGGATGCTAAACATCTTGACGATCAGAAACTAAATGGTGCTGCCTCTTGGACGGAGATCACTGAGGGTGAATGAGACAACTGTGATTTAAAAGACCGAAAGACGTTTCCCATGTGCTTTTGTGCCATCTTGAGTGTCAGAGACAGATCCCTGCAAGGCCCTTCCTACCTTGCACTAAGAAATCAGCAAGGAGTGTCACCTAACTGGATGGAGGACATTTAGTGCTTCTCCCTTGAGAATTTGTCCCATTCGACCCACCCCAGCATCCTCTTGAATATTTGGAAATATTTCTCTCCAACTCTGTGCCCATAGCAACTGGCATTGTTTTGCTTGCAATGTTTCTGCATGTGGCCAGCATTATAGAATGCTCCAGGCCAGAGAATGAGATTGCTCCCATGATGCCAGGGCCTGGTCAGGGAAGTGGTGAGACTTGTTCCTTTTGAGGCAGAGCTCCAAAGGAAGCAGGGCAGCCGCTTGTCATGCCCAAGCATTAATTCTCTCCTCAGTGCTCACAGGAGAAGTTACATGCTGTGAGCGGGTGTGGTGGCTCATGCCTGTAATCCCCACACTTTGGGAGGCAAAGGACTGCTTGAGCCCAGGAGTTCAGGACCAGTCTGGTCAACATAGGGAGACTCTGTCTCTACAAAAAGACAAAAATCATCCTGGTGTGCTGGCACACACCCATGGTCTCAGCTGCCTGGGAGGCTAAGGTGAGATGACTGCTTATGCTTGGGAGGCTGAGGCTGCAGTGAGCTGTGATCACACCACTGCACTCCAGCCTGAGTGACAGAGCAAGACCTCGTCCAAAAAAAAAAAAAAAATTGCAGGGCTTCTTACCTAGGGAGCGTGGGCTAGGTGAATTGGAACCACTTCCTGTTTCTGGGCTTTGTTTTGTTGGTCCTTTAGAGCAGGTGCCTTAGATAACTAGCGCCTGTTGCAGAACACTGAGGGCATTGCCCCTTGGAATGAGAGATTGGTCAGTATTCAGCATTCTCTCACTGACTTAAAATTTGTCTGCTTGTTGTATTTTATTTGGGGGTGAGCACGAGGCAGAGGGATATAGCAGTTGTTTCCCAAGACTCTGTGGTTGACATGTGGTTTTTTTTTTTTAACTTTTGTTACAAAAATTTCAAACAGAAGTAGAGAAGATCCTCTAATGAAGCCCAGTGTGCCCAGCCCCCGGCCTCCCCACTGATCAGCTCATGGCCAATCTTGTTTTCTATTCTTCAACTTACTGACTTCCCGCTGGATTCTCCTCTAACCAGTCCCAGATATTGTGCCATTTTATCCATGGTTGTGCCTCTTTTTTTGGATATAAAGATTTTTCAATGCATTTTTAAAATGCTAACAAAAAATAAAAGCCTGAAAAAATTAAAAAGTGTGGCATCTCCAGTCGAGCGCCGTGTCCCGCTTCTCCTTCCGGATGTGCTGATGCTCTCCTGGTGCCTTCTGCTTTACAGTGCAAGCCCACCGTAAGCCGCAGCAGGTCTTCCAGTTTAAGTCTTACGGTTGAGAGTGCTTTAGAAAGCTTTGATTTCCTGAACACCTCTGACTTTGACGAGGAGGAGGATGGTGATGAGGTTTGTAATGTTGGCGGAGGTGCTGACTCCGTGTTTTCAGACACTGAGACTGAGAAACACAGGTAAGTCTGAAGACAGTATCTCCTCATGTTTCTCCTATCACAGCTGATACACTAGTTCTTTGTCACTGTCAGAGGGGACCTGGTACACATTTCCAGGAAGATAAAACTCCCCACATGACGGACCAGTTGGCTTACAGTTCATTTTTATGGTCAAGTACAATAAAACGGTCGACATTATTCACCTATTTTGGGTTGCTTAAAGAAAAATAACTTCCTTATAAATAAAGAGGAAAATTTTATATGAGAGTGTTTATATTCACATACATGTGTACACATCTTTTGTTTTTTTGAGACAGAGTCTCGCTTTGTCACCCAGGCTGAAGTACAGTGGTGCGATCTCGACTCACCGCAACCTCCACCTCCCGGGTTCAAGTGATTCTCCTGTCTCACCCTTCCAAGTAGCTGGGACTACAGGTGCCCACCACCACACCCAGCTAATTTTTGTATTTTTAGTAGAGATGGGATTTCACCACGTTGACCAGGCTGGTCTTGAACTTTGGACCTCAGGTGATCTACCCACCTCGGCCTCCCAAAGTGCTGGGATTACAGGTGTGAGCCACTGCGCCCAGCCCTCACATGTGTCTGATAGGGTTCGGTGTTATGGAGAACGAACTCATACTAGATGACGGATTTGGGCCTGGTTCTCCCTGGCTTGCACTCTCCTTCCAGTGCCTTTGTGTTTTTTTGCCTCACTTTCCGAGCCCTTCATGCTTCCTTCAACCCAGTGAGTCTTTGCATGAGATTGAGTTCATCAATGCATGCATCAGTGCCAACTTTAAGTCCCATGGTGCATATTTGTCTAAGAATGTGAGAGAGAATGACCTGTGACTGCCACTGGCTCTGCAGCTCTCTAGGTGGAGAATGTGACCTTCTTTGGAAGCAGCGGATGAAGGTGAAATATTGTCAACTTCACCATCAGGTGTCCTCGTGCAGCCTAACCACATTTTAAGAACTAGAGCCTGGGGTCCAATTTTATAACTACAGATAAAGCAAAATAAGCACAGTATTGAAATATGCCCACCTCCATCCATTGCTGTGAAAGAAAACACACTTTCCCAAAGTAGGGGTAGACTGTCCGCTCATCTTTCTTTACCTTTGGCACAATATGACATAAACAGGTTTTCAGGTTACAGCAAGCTATGACTTCAACCTTCACAAATCTCTTTTGGGTTTTTGTTGTCCCTAGAGGGTTTCCTTTTTCAAAATAAAAACAGGAAAAAGACCATGAGAACTTGAATTTACCCCTTAAGCGAACTGGGGACGTGGCAAAGAAAATTTATTAAATGGATGTAATGTTTAAATTCTACATTTGGCCAGGCATGGTGGCTCATGCCTATAATCCCAGCACTTTGGGAAGCCAATGTAGGAGGATTACTTGAGCTCAGGAGTTAGAGACCACCCAGGAAACATGGCAAAATCCCATCTCTACAAAAAATACAAAAGTTAGCTGGGTGTGGTGGTGTATGCCTGTAGTCCCAGCTATGTGGGAGGCTGAGATGGGAGGATTACTTGAGCCCAGGAGGTCAAGGTGAGCTGAGATTGTACCACAGCACACCAGCCTCAGCGACAGAGTGAGACCTTCTCTCAAATAAATAAATAAGGCCCGACATGATGGGTCACTCCTGCAATCCCAGCACTTAGGAAGCCAAAGAGGGTGAATCACTTGAGGTCAGGAGTTCAAGACCAGCCTGACCAAGATGGTGAAACCCTGTCTCTACCAAAAACACAAAAATTAGCTGGGCATGGTGGCAGGCACTGTAGTCCCAGGAGGCTGAGGCAGGAGAATGGCTTGAACCTGGGAGGTGGAGGTTGCAGTGAGCCGAGATCACACCACTTCACTCCAGCCTGGGTGACAGTGCAATAATCTGTCTCAAAAAATATATACACATATATAAATTGTTCTGCATTCATTGGCATTTGTGAAACGCTTCTTAACCAAAAATTTTTCTACATACTTGTTACCGTAAACTGTTACAGACTTCCCAAAAGAAAGAATATGGGGGAAAAAAAAAGCAGTTACAGGGTATAGCAAAGTCAGGCATCAATCCAAACTTTTTTTTCTTCTTGCTATAAGAAACATTTTAACAACAAAAACGTCACAGATTTTATAAATGTTATACCTCATTGATATTAAATATGTCTAATTTGATCAATCTTATTGTATGTCATCAGAAGTATTAGGGGAGAGAGAGAGAGAGAGAGAGAGAGAGAGAGTGTGTGTGTGTGTGTGTGTGTGTGTGTGTGTGTGTGTGTATTTTAAATATGTATTGGCTGCTATGTGTGGACTGCCCAGACACAAGCTGAGTGTTTTCCCCTTGGAGGCAAATGTGAATCAGAATAAAGCATTCAAAACCTGTAAGCTCTGGTGCGTGATCTTTTTAAATTGTAGACACGGGAGAGCGTGAGGCTGGAGCCCAGCTCTGCCCTGTCCTGTCCAGCTGTGTGAATCAGGACATTCTTGTTAACATCCATGCTAATCATGTGAAACAAGACCACTGTGCTCACCCTCCCTAGTATACAGATTTATTTTAAGAATAAAATTAGATCATCAATGCAAGTGATTTTTTAAAATGTAGGTGCCCATCATGATATAACTTGAGACAGTTCAACAATGGGGTTGACACAAAGCATGACAGGCAGAGCTAAGCTGTTCCTCTAAATACTCAAACACGCTTTTTAACTTTTGTTCAGAGTAGAACATCATGTCTCTCTTCTTGGCAGCTTTCCTTTTTCCTTGTATTCAAGTAGCAACTGATCTGAGGCCAGGAAAAAGCCTTGACAGATTATTTCTTAATGGTATTGCCTTTGGGAAACCACAAATATAAAGGACAGTTTAATCCCAGAAAACTTGGCAGATCACCCTGTCAACAGTGCAGGAAAGTGCAACACATTCAAAATAAGGGCATGTTTCAAAGACTTCTGGGCAAAATTACTTCCTAAGTGGTTCATTAGGCTTAAGAGGCAGAGAGAGAACTTTGAAAGCAATTTGTTTGCCTGCTCTTTTAACAGTAGGCAAATTGGTGACCAGCCTGAATTAAGTAATTTTTGAAAGGTGTCTCTGTTTTTCAAGGTGGGCAAGTGAAAGACTGTTTTCAGTGGGTGCTGTTGAGGCCTGATGCAAACCATGTTGACATGACCTGTGGTTTGTGCACAGAAAAAAAAAAAGTTAACGTTTTACCCACCTTCAATAGTTACAGGTCGGTTCACCCAGAAGCCAGGGGCCATCTCAGTGAAGCGCTGACCGAAGACACAGGAGTTGGGACCAGTGTGGCAGGAAGTCCTCTCCCGCTGACCACAGGGAACGAGAGCCTGGACATCACCATCATTAGGCACCTCCAGTACTGCACCCAGCTCGTGCAGGTAGGAGCAGCGACGAACCTGTTTCGAGAGGTCAGGCGGTGTGCATGTCAGGAAGCGTGCTTTCATTTTTTAGCGTTGCCAGGGAAATGAGAATTCAGGAGTAAGAGAACAGTCTTGCTCTGGTTTGAGCCCAGTCAAAAACTCTGATGGGCATCCGCATCCCTCCACAACCTTGCGTTTTCATCTTCAAACCTAACTCTCCAGTTCTTAGCAGTAACAGGTGGAATATGGTTGGCTCTCATGTTTGACTCATTTGGTAGTAAATGAGAGTCATGTGATGAAGGGGGCTGGAGAAGTCATTCGTATTCCACCATCTGCAATGGAGTTTGAAAGCCAGTGATACTGAATATATATTAATGTGAATGTCAGATGAATTAGTTTTTCACCACCTGGATAGCTGAAAGACACTGTTAAAGAATCTAACCACAGTCTCCTGCATCTTGAATAAGTACTTCTTATTAGCAATGGTAAGAGATATTTCTCGAGGCCATCAACATCACCATTTAGCTCTCATTCTGGCACAGCACAGGGCTGCTTTTTCTTCTCATCTCAAGCTATTTGCCACTTAAGGTTTTTCAACAGTGGAGCAAATGTTCTGAAATTGTTTTGTTGCAGGAAGGGTTTCAGCTGTCTTAAAGCGTTTCTCCTCAAGCATCTACTTAAGAGCTTTCTCCTTGCCTGGTCACTTGTCTGTCTAGTATTGTTCTTCTCCCAGCTTGCTTGGATGTATGTGGAACAGGAAGAGAATGCAGAAGCAAATATAATGTTTCAGACCAGGTGCAGTGGCTCATGCTTGTAGTCCCAGCACTTTGGGAGAACAAAGCAGGAAGATCGTTTGAGCCCAGGAGTTTGAGACCAGCCTGATCAATACAGTGAAACCTCATCTCTACAAAAAAGATACAAAAATTAGCCAGGAGTGGTGGCACCCGCCTGTGGTCCCAGCTACTCAGGAGGCTGAGGTGGGAGGACCGCTTGAGCCTGGGAAGCAGAGGTTGCAGTGAGTTGTGATGATGCCGCTGCACTCCAGCCTGGGTGACAGAGTGAGATCCTGTCTTAAAAACATGGTTTCAAGGGGATTACCAGGCAGGAAGTGTGCAGAAAGAGGAGGCATTGTACTCCCAAGAGTACTGAACCATTAGAAGACAAGAGTCAGGGTGAGGAGCCAGGGGTCCCTCAGGAGCCCAGCAGAGGGGCAGTGTTGCTCCCTGGTAACACACGTGTTTTGAGATGTAGGATAATATGCTTCTCCACCTCAGATGAAGAGCACCAGAGTAGCCTCAGACAACTGTATGCTGTGGGAGACTGGCTGGCGATTACAACTCCTGCCACTTGGTTAGCCAACACTTAGTTGAACTCTTCTGTTGAGTTTTGAGGTCAAACACCACAAAGCTTTCACAAACCATGAGATTGACAATCAACTTGGTAGAAGGTGCAATTTTTTTTTCCTGATTAAAACAGGGATTTTTGTTTACGTATAACTGTTTTCTACCCACTAACCATTTGAAGGAGACAGTTCTTTGTCCTTGCTGAGCCTGATATGACAGTGAGCAAACCACTTATTTATCTTTTAGGGAAAAATAGCTATTTTGTGAGACATCAGAGAATTCTTGTCTATGAAGGAGTGACTGTTTTCTCACAACGACTAATTGGCATGCTTTCACTGCAGGCAGCCAGTGCAGCATTTCTTCCTGTTCTAGGGCCATGATCCCAACAGTTCAGCCTTTCTGTGGGGATAAGCAATGGTACAAAAACAGAAGAGGTGGATATAAAGATGTAGGCTGAAGGAGTGAGGATTAGAAACTTCTCACTTGCATTGACTCGTGTGAACTTCCTTTCTCATTAGGTATATAATCACAGAGAGATAAAGATGTGCATTTTCTAGGAACCACAATCACTAAGATTATTCTCAAAGCAGTTCCTTGCTATTGTATTTACTCACAGGAAAGGTGTTAGTACATAATTGCTGCACTAGACTTTTGCATTTGAAAATCCTATTTGTTTTAGAGTCTAAATACTTTAGACAATACAGCTAGGTGGTACAGGTCTGCCTTCTGCATCTATGCCCATCGGGTGATCAAGACAGGTCTCTGAGGGACACAGAAAGGATTAGAACCATTGGGCAGCAAGTGACTTAATTTCTTTCCTCTCTTAGGCCTTCTCATTCTTATGAACGACACACAAGTGAACCCACTTACAACTTCAGTGACCTCTGGTGGGTTACTTTACCTCTCTGTGCCTCAATTTTCTCATCAGTAAAATGGGGATATCAATAGGAGCCGCCTCCTTGGGTAGTTAATAGAAATAGCATGAGCTAACACTCATACAGGACTCAGACTAGAGCCTGGCACATAGTAAGCACGCATTTGTTATCAAGAGACAACCCTGATTGTAATTATCATTCTTATTTAACCTGCTCTTAATTTTCAGCTTGAACACACACAAAAATAAAACCATGCTGTGAAAAATTACTGCATTTGTTAAGGCAAATCTATTCTGCTTACACACCAGCCTAAACTGTCCCTCATGTTTCAAAAGTAAGATCAAGATTCACAATACATAAAAAGGAAGGCAGCTTTATAATAACCTTGTAGCCCTACTACTGAGAAAGTTCCAGAATTTATGCAGGCATGAAAATATGCAGAGCAACAAAAACATGTCTGATTTCCTCAGAACTGTATCTGGCATGGAATGAGGAACATGATCAAGCTGGAAGAAAAACATTGCATGAGTTTATTTAGTATCATCACCACATTCAGGAAGGACAAGGCTGGGTAGAGAAAGCTCTACTGAAAACAACATAATTGAAACAGTGGTTTTGTTTGTTTTACCAGCAAATTGTTTTCTCAAGCAAAACCCCATTTGTGGCAAGAAGTCTCTTAGAGAAGCTTTCTAGGCAGATCCAGGTGATGGAGAAACTCGCAGCTGTCAGTGATGAGAACATAGGAAATATCACTTCTGTTGTGGAAGGTAAGTATCTGCCAGTTACACCGCTACTCATGTAAATGATGACACCACTAGCCCCGTCCACTCCCTACACATGTTCATTGCTTTCTTGGGAAAACGGAAAAGCATCCTTAGGTCATAGGATTTAGAAAGGTCTTCAAACAGATCGGGCTCATCAGCATCACATTTCAGCGTTCTGAGTCAAAGCAGCAGACACAGTTTTTCCCTGAGGGCCTCGACCTCCAGAAGTCAGACACGCAAACAGAAACAGCGTCCACTTCATGGGCACAGTTTCACAGACTTTCTGCTGGTACAGTTCCCTTTAGGGACAGATGACTAGGATTGTTCTTGCTCCCTGGGGCTGGCTAAGACAACTCATACAGCGACTGTCAGATGGAAGATGCTACCAGACCCTGCTGGGGAAAGGTGCAAATACATGGATGCAAACACCCCCAGGAGAGCTCCTGATTCTAAGAGTTTTAAAGGAAGAAATTGACACTGGAAAGATGCCTTTGAATTTGTGTGATCTGGTGATGGGGCTCTTCTGTAGAGACCAGAATTTATGTCTTTTTTCATATCAGATACTCAGCAGAAATAGTCTTCCAGGTAATCTCTGATTAAGCTTAAAACGTCCTCTATCTTCTCCCTGTACATTTCTGCCTCCCAAATCCATTCCCCCAGAAGTAGGTGACCTTGGCTGGTCTCTGAGGGGCATGAAGAGGGGCAGGACATCCAGGCCGCCAGTGACTTGTGTCCTCTCCTCCTCCAGCCCCCTCCTCATGATGGTAACACATTCAAGTGAAACACTGTTCCTGCACCACCTGGCACCGTGCTGTTCAGTCATTTCAGTCACAGAACACCTGGGCAGGGTAAAAATGTCCTCCAGCCACCTACTGCTACCTCCCATCCCCTTCAGGAAACTCTCCTAAAGTTTCAGTCTCTCATCCTGTGTGATTTCTGTGTGGAGTTACAGGAAATCCCATGATTGAGTTCTCCCAAGGGTAGAACTCCTGTGTTTCCCAACACTGACAGAAAACGGCCTTGCATTTGCACCATTTTCTTTGCTCCCCAGGCAGGATGAGTTTCTTGTCATAACTTCTTTATCCTTCAGGCCATCTGCCAACCACACAGGAACTGATAATCCCAGCACTTTGGGAGGCCAAGGCAGGTGGATTACCTGAGGTCAGGAGTTGGAGACCAGCCTGGCCAACATAGCGAAACTCTGCCTCTACTAAAAATACAAAAATTAGCCAGGCATGGTAGCACATGCCTGTAATCCCAACTACTTGGGAGACTGAGGCAGGAGAATCGCTTGAACCTGCGAGGCAGAGATTGCACTGAGCTGAGATCATGCTACTCCACTCCAGTGAAGGTCACAGAGTGTGACTGCATCTCAATAATAATAATAAAGCTACTACATTTTTATGTAGCATTATGGGGAGAAAAAAAGGTTCCCAAAGAACACACGCACATACCCTTTCCCCAACACGTCTCCCTCTGCTTCATTTCAAATGTGTCCTGAGATGCTGGTTGCTCTTCTCTTCCAGCCATACCAGAATTTCACAAAAAGCTGTCTCTGCTGTCATTCTGGACCAAGTGCTGCAGCCCTATTGGTGTGTACCACAGCTCAGCGGACAGAGTGATTAAGCAGCTGGAGACCAGCTTTGCCAGAACTGTCAACAAAGAGTATCCAGGACTTGCAGACCCAGGTATGAGGTAGCAGTAGAAAGAGAATTCCTGTCCTTCAGTGAGAGTGGGCACTGAAGTGGGGGTACAGGGGTCCTCCTACCATTTGCCTGCAGATGGGAAGCACACAAAAGGCCAGCCCTGAAAACAGAATTGTACTGTCCAGGGAAAACATCATCTACTCAGATTTAAGAAAAGATGTTGAACGTGTTTTAATTCAGCATGTCAGCAGTGACATTTAAAGCTACTACATTTTGGTCAGGCACAGTGGCTCACATCAGTTAATCCCAGCACTTTGGGAGGCCGAGGCAGATGGATCACCTGAGGTCAGGAGTTCAAGACCAGCCTGGCTAACATGGCAGAGCTCCATCTCTATTAAAAATACAAAAATTAGCTGGGCATGATGGTGCATGCCTGTAACCCTAGCTACTTGGGAGACCGATAGTGCCACTGCACTCCAGCTGAGGAGACAGAGTGAGACTTCATCTCAATAATAATAAAGCTACTACATTTTCATGTATTGTTGTTTCCATATGCATACTTCTTTCATTACAATGTTACCAGTATGACAGCGTCAAATGGAACAATCGCTTTGGAAAAACTGTTCGGCAGTTTCTACTAAAGCTCAGTATACCCTACTCTTGGATCCAGCAAATTCACTCCTAAATAAGTAAAGACAAAGAAGTGCTATATTCACAAGAAAGGACACTTATAAGAGGATTCATAGCAACTTTACCCACAAGAGCCAAAAATTGGAAACAACATAAATGCCCACAAGAGAATGGATAAATTGTAGCATACTCATAGCATCAAGTATTACACAGCGATTAAAAAAATAGAGACAAGGTCTCACTCTGTCCCCCAGGGGGAATAAAGTAGTGTGATAACAGCTCACTTCAGCCTCTACATCCTGGGCTCAAGAGATTCTCCTGCCTCAGCCCCTTTTGTACTGGGACTATAGGCAGATGCCAACACGCCTGGCTAATTTTGGTACTTTTAGTAGAGATGGGGTTTCACCCACTTGCCCAGGCTGGTTTGGAACTCCTAGACTCAAGCAATTCTCCTACTTTGGCCCCACAAAGCGCCAGGATTATAGGCATGAGCCATGGCAGTGGGCCAGCAATTTTTTTTTTGAGATGGAGTCTCACTCTGTTGCCCAGGCTGGAGTGCAGTGGCATGATTTCAGCTCAGTGCAACCTTCGCCTTTCAGGTTCAAGTGATCCTCTTGTCTCAGCCGCAAGTAGCTGGGATTACAGGCACACGCCACCATGCCCAGCTAAGTTTTGTACTTTTAGTAGAAACAGGGATTCACCATGTTGGCCAGTCTGGTCTCAAATTCCTGACCTCAGGTGATCCACCCGCCTAGGCTTCCCAAAGTGCTGGGATTACAGGTGTAAGCTACCGCACCAGTCCTGGGCCAGCAATTTAAAAAAAAAATACATTGTAGCTATAAGCAATAATTTGGATGAATCTCACGGATGCTTTGTTGTATAAAAGAACAAGACACCAAAAGTATGTGCTATTTAACTCCATTTACATGAAGTTCAAGAATAGGCAAAACTGATTTATGCTGATAGAAGTCAGATTGTTAGTTACCTATTTGTGCCCCTCCTGTCCTTTCTCTTCCCTGAATTTTTCCTTCGTTCTTTCCTTCCTTTCTTCTCTTTTCCTCTCTCACTTTTCTCTTACTCCTCCTTTTTATCTCTCTCCTACACACGCATATATAATATTTATTCATTATATATGATATATATATAAGGGAAGGGAAGGGTAGCTATCGACTGGGAAGGGGCACAAGAATACCTTGTGGAGTGTGGGCCCTCTCCGTATCTTGATCTAAATAGCAGTTACACAGGTGTGCACATGTGCAAAAACCGTCCAGCTGCTTACTTTACCGACTTCACTCTATCTTCAACCACAGTAAAAGATAAAGAGCTTATTGAGCCAGGTGTGATGGCTCATGCCTGCAATTCCATCTACTTGGGAGGCTGAGCAGGAGGACCGCTTGAGCCCAGGAGTTTGAGACCAACCTGGGCAACAAAGTGAGACCCTATCTCTAAAAAAAATAAGAATAGCCGTGGGCAGTGCTTCACGCCTGTAATCCTAGCACTTTAGGAGGCAGAGGCGGGCGGACTGCCTGAGCAAGCAGTTCAAGACCAGCCTGGGGTGAAACCCCATCTCTACTAAAATACAAAAGAAATTAGCCAGGCCTGGCAGCATGCACCTGTAGTCCCAGCTACTTCGGAGGCTGAGGCAGGAGAATTTCTTGAACCTGGGAAGCAGAGGTTGGCAGTGAGCTGAGATCGCACCTCTGCACTCCAGTGTGGGTGACAGAGCAAGACTCCTAAATAAATAAATAAGTAAATAAAAAGTTGAATGAATGAATGGTCATATATTTTAAAGCTTCTGTGTCTTTCCCTTCCAAATAGTGTTTCGAACTCTGGTGTCCCAAATTCTGGACCGGGCTGAGCCTCTGCTTTCCACCAGCCTGTCCTCGGAAGTCGTCACTGTTTTCCAGTATTACAGTTACTTCACCAGCCACGGCGTGAGTGACCTGGAGAGTTACCTGAGCCAGCTGGCCAGGCAAGGTGGGACATATTCTTTTGTCACATTATAGTGGTGGCTCAATTTGGGCGTTATCTCTGGTCTTTTAAATCATGGTTTTTGGCAATGATAGCCTTTTGCTTTTTCAAGTTCACAGAAGAGGTGCAATTTGCCTTTTAAATGTCTTCTGGACCTTTACTACCAGTGAGCCCCTTGTTAATAAATCAGGGATTCACTAGGAGCAACTCAATCATCTGGCAGAGGGGTACCATTTATAGGAAGCTGGCAAATGATTTCAGCTTTCACTGCACTGTGTTTCCTTCAGTAATGTATTTGCCATTAGTCAGATCAACCCGACAGGCAATACTATTTTATATTGCCCTTTTTGGTGAGGCTGTCATTAATAATGGGAAGAAATGGAATTTCAAAGAAAGCAGGTAGGTCACAGTGGGAAGGGAAAGGAGGAGAAGGTGGAAAACTAGCTCCAGAGCTACATGTGCAGGAAACAAGGAGAGCGGCTGCCGGAGCAGGTGTGCAGCAATGAAGCTGGCCCTTGCCATTCCACATGGCCCTTCAGAGACAGGAAATAAAATAATGATCTGAATCAAGTGAAAACCACTTTGGGAGTGCAGCCATGTAGTGAGGGGCTGCTTTCTGGTTCCCAGGTTTGTGCTCTATCAATCCACAGAGACTTGACAATGCAGGTTAAAAAGGGACAGGAGGAATGAGGTGTGTTCTTTGGAGCGAGGTAAGTCTGGCACGGCACCAGGCGGCAGCAACGTGTCTGGTGCACGCCCAGGCTTAGCCCTTCTGTTTCCAGAACATCAGATCCTGCAACAACACAGTCAGCACACTGGGTAGCATCATCCTGAAGGAAGAAAAATCTTCCTCCACCCAGCACTGTACCAGCACGGAGTGTGGGAGACAGTCTGTGCATAACCCCTTACAACGGCAGAAGACAGCATAAAGAACAGGAAGAGAAAGCGTGGGCAGAAAGACCTTGTTTCAGTACCACAAAGTCTTATTTCATAATATAATAGTCTTCTTATTTATTTTTTTATTGAATGGAGTCTCACTCTCGCCCAGGCTGGAGTGCAATGGCATGAATGTCAGCTCACTGCAACCTCCACCTCCCGGGTTCAAGCGATTCCGCTGCCTCAGCCTCCTGAGTAGCTGGGATTACAGGCAGGTGCCACCATGCCCTGCTAATTTCTGTATTTTTAGTAGTGATGGGGTTTCACCATGTTGGTCAGGCTGGTCTCGAATTCCTGACCTCGTGATCCGCCCACCTCGGCCTCCCAAAGTGCTGGGATTACAGGCGTGAGCCACCGCGCCCGGCCCTATTGTAGTCTTCATTTCTTGGTGCTAAATATGTCCCGATCTGAATCAATTTTCTGAGAAACTTACTGTTAGTTTATATCAGTGGAGATGTACATCTCTAGCCTCCTATATTACATTGTTCCCAAAAAGGCCTACTCTTTGCTAACAGGAATAGGGAGTGACAATAAAAAAAAAACTCTTAACCTTTTAAGTGTCTTTTTTCTTTCATCATAAAAGGGAAAAGCCTTCATTATTTAAAAAAAAAAAAATTAGAAAACAGAGAAATATAAAGAAAAAAATTTCAATCTCTCCTTCCCCTACTTTTTAAATTGTATGTATTTTCCAGTTGAATGCATGTGGGCTTTAGATTTCAAAATTGTAATTATGCCTTATAGAGTATCGATCCTGTTTTTTTATTTGACATTATGTTCTGTGTTATTAAATATTTTTTGAAAGCATTTATGTTAGATTATATTAGATATTAGATTAATAGTTCGGCATTTGAATGTATACTAATGTATTTGATTATGTTGTTGAACATTTAGGCTAATTTCTGTGATTTATTTCGATGTTATAATCCATAATGCTTCCTTGAGGCTTTTGACTAGGGTGTTTATTTATAAAGCAGTGAAATTAATGGAGCATCCACAGCAAGGAAAATAGGAAATTCATGCAAAAAACAAATCTAAATAAGTCACAAATCTGTCTACTGTGTAGAAAATGTTGCTTTATGCATGGAGCATGAATCTGGCTTTTACTCTTCCATCTGTACTAACCAGACACATTCTCATTCCAGTATTTTTGTGACTAATGGGTAATCATGCTAGATTTCTGGTTAGGGAGTAGAGGATACTCCTTATTCATGGAACATGGTTAATTTGTCCAAATGGGACCCAAGACCTTATTTTTTACTATATTGTCTTCATATTCCAACCAACAAAATGGGTTGCTCTGGTCGGGCACGGTGGCTCACACCTGTAATCCCAGCACTTTGGGAGGCCAAGGTGGGTAGATCACCTGAGGTCAGGAGTTTGAGACCAGCCTGGCCATCATGGTGAAACCCCATCTCTACTAAAAATAGAACAATTGGCCGGGCGCGGTGGCTCAAGCCTGTAATCCCAGCACTTTGGGAGGCCGAGGCGGGTGGATCACGAGGTCAAGAGATCAAGACCATCCTGGTCAACATGGTGAAACCCCGTCTCTACTAAAACTACAAAAAATCAGCTGGGCATGGTGGCGCGTGCCTGTAGTCCCAGCTACTCAGGAGGCTGAGGCAGGAGAATTGCCTGAACCCAGGAGGCGGAGATTGCGGTGAGCCGAGATCGCGCCATTGCACTCCAGCCTGGGTAACAAGAGCGAAACTCCGTCTCAAAAATAAAAATAAAAATAAAAAATTAAAAAAAAAAAAAAAAATAGAACAATTAGCTGGGTGTGGTGGTGTATGCCTGTGATCCCACCTACTCCAGCCTGGGCAACAGAAGTGAGACTGTGTCTCAAAAGAAAAAAAAAAAAGAGAAAGAAAGAAATGTATTCCTTCATCAGGGCCCAGTTGCTTCAGTGCAGACTTGGTTTCTGCACTGGGTTCACCCAGGATTGGGGTTTTGCCAGCCAGGTTTGACTAAAAGACAGAGGAGCAATTGAGTCTGCCATACATACATAAGGAAGATTGTAAAAAATGTTTACATAGGGCTGGGCACTGTGGCTTACGCCTGTAATCCTAGCACTTTGGGAGGCCGAGGTGGGTGGATCACCTGAGGTCAGGAGTTCAAGACCAGCCTGGCCATCATGGTGAAACCTCATCTTATTAAAAAAAAAAAAAAAAAAAAAAAAAAAGTTTATGTATATTTTCTTCTGTATATTTTTACATTGGGCTAATTCATCTACAAGTTATTTTTGTAGCCATTATAAGATAGAGACCCACCTTCACTTTTTCCCATGTGCTTTGTCCATCACTGTAATCCAGTTATTTGAATAGTCTGACCTTTTCTCACCAATCTGAAATACCACCTTTATCAGATGCTAATTTCTCATATGCATTGACTTATATACTATACTTCCTTTCGTACTTGAGTCCTATTTATGTTTGTAATGAGCTTGTTACTTTAGCATGTCAGAACATGAAATCTCCTTCTTCTTACCCTCTAGTTTCCATGGTTCAGACTCTGCAGTCACTAAGAGATGAAAAACTGCTACAGACCATGAGTGACCTTGCTCCCAGCAACCTCCTGGCCCAGCAGGAAGTACTCAGGACTCTGGCTCTGCTATTAACCAGAGAGGACAATGAAGTTAGTGAGGCTGTGACGCTTTACTTGGCAGCTGCCTCCAAAAATCAGCATTTCAGGGAAAAGGTAGGACACTGAACCATGGCCATCGAGCCAGAAGCAGGTTTAATTTTCTATCATTTACTAATAATATTTTAGCATTTATTCTTTTATAAAATAATTTTTCTGCTTATCAATAATACATATTCTGTAAAATAATTAAAACTAAAGAAATATATATAAGTACCCCCTACATTCAGCCCCCAGAAAAAAACTATTAATAACATACTGTCTCTTCTTTCAAATTTTGTCTATACATATGCTAACATGCATAATTTTTAAAGTGAGATCACACTACTCTGTTTTATAATAGACTTTTTAATGTGATATATCATGGTTATTTTCTTTCCTTGACCAAACATATTGATCTACTTAATTATATTTATGGATGGATGGCATGTCTGAATATAAATATCCTAGAATTTATTTTCTTACTCTGTATTGGTGGGCATTTGTGTAGTGTCTAATTCTAAAAATATTCACCACACGCTTGGCTAACTTTTTTAAATTTTTAGTAGAGACAGGGTTTCACCATGTTGGCCAGGCTGGTCTCGAACTCCTGACCTCAGGGGCCAATATGGTGAAACCCCATCTCTACTAAAAATAAAAACAATTGGCATGGTGGTGGTCACCTGTAGTCCCAGCTACTCCAGCTACTCAGGAGGCTGAGGCAGGAGAATCATTTGAACTCGGGAGGCGGAGGTTGCAGTGAGCCAAGATATCGTGCCACTGCACTCTAGCCTAGGTGACAGAGCAAGACTCTGTCTCAAAAAAAAAAAAAAAAAAGACAACTTTTATGTAGAGATTTTTGCACAGAGCATTTATTTGCCATGTGTCAAACACAGCAAATCTCAAACTGACATCACCACCCTCCTCCCTGGAATGTACTGCCTCCTCCTGCCTTCCTTATTTCTGCCTGAATACCTTTTTTTTCAATAAACTTCCCCACTGAAATCTAACCCATCATTTCCATTCGAGTTCAAACATTTTTGAAACCTATCCTGGCATTCCGTAAGATTTTCTCTTCCCCAAGTGACTGACTTACCTTGTAGCTTTCTTATGGCACCTAATACATTTCATCTCTTCAGTTCCTTCTAGCAGTCAGCATTTCTACTATATCTAAGGGCTCCTTAAAAGCCAGAACCATAACTCTCTATCTCCCAATTTTATTCAATAAATGGATCCCTTATATTCTTCTAGAGTCATGGATTTTAGGGGAATATTTCAAATCTTGGAATGACACGTGGGACAAGGGGCAGGAGACTGCAGGCCTTTATGAAGGGACAGAAAGAAAGGGTTAACACCTCAAAAGACACAGTTCATGACCCAGGATCAAAAACAGCTTTGAGAAATTTTGCCTTCCTCGTTACTTAGTTTAAAAAATTACCTCCAGGTGGCCAAAAAAAGCCCACCATCATTATAGGTCTAGGGGAGTATAAGGGATCAATTTATGGAATGAACGGCTCTTTTAATTAATATGAATTTCAATGGCTTTTTTTTTTCTTGCTCTGAAGGTAATGACAAATGTCTGTGTTGTACGATATAGGTTATCTCTCTTACATGAGAAAATGAGTGAAAATGAGATATACCTCTTACACTACGAACAAACCAAAATGCCTTCACAGGGTCCCTCCTTCTCTTTCAGGCCTTGCTCTATTACTGTGAAGCACTAACAAAGACAAACCTCCAGCTCCAGAAAGCAGCTTGCCTGGCCCTGAAAATCCTTGAGGTAAAGCCCGGCCTCAACCACCACCCTACCCACCCCATCATCCCAGGCAGCTCAGCTTGGAGAGCTTGGAGCCAGGCTAAGCTGAGCGCATATAATAGCTTTTGTTTCATGTTTGAGAAGACTTTTTTTTTTAACAGTATTTCTTGTTTCCTTTGCACCATCTATTAGTTTTAGTATTGTTTTCCCCTTAAACAGTAACTACATGTGACTTTGTTTTGTTATAGTCAATAAGTGGCAGGAAATAATCAGGTTTTTCACTAGCCCAAGGGAATCAGTTTGCCTTTAGGTGAGTATTAGGAAAGTATATTTGATTAGCCAGCATGGTGGCTCACACCTGTAATCCCAACATTTCGGGAGGCTGAGGCTGGTGGATCACCTGAGGTCAGGAGTTCAAGACCAGCCTGGCCAACATGGTGAAACCTCATCTCTACAAAAATACAAAAATTAGCTGGGCATGATGGCAGGTGCCTGTAATCCCAGCTATGCAGGAGGCTGAGGCAGGAAAATCACTTGAACCCAGGAGGCAGAGGTTGTAGTGAGCCAAGATCGTGCCATTACATTCCAGCCTGGGTGGCAGAGCGAGACTCTATCTCAAAAAAAGAAAAAAAGAAAAGTCTATCTTACATATCTTACGTTTCTTATCTTAAAAGGGAGATGAATTGTATGGTGACTGCACTCATTTTTATTGTGAACAACAAAAAGCAGGGACCAATAAGATTTGAAAAGAAGCGCTAAAATGGAGTATGCCACTGAATTCCCAGATCCTTCCCCACACGCTCTCTTTACGAAGCAGAGAACCAGCTTTGATTGTCATGAGAAGGTGTTGTAAGCAGAGAGAGAGCTGGAATGTAAACAAGTATGCGAAGACTGAGAACTCCTGACATTGAAATTTCCCTCTCAATAGGCAGGATGTAATGTTTGACCTACCTTCATCGCAAAAAAATAAGACAAATCAGTCTTGAGAAAAGAATGAGAGAAATCTGGGCACAGTGACTCATGCCTATAATCCCAGCATTTTGGGAGGCCGAGGCGGGCAGATCACTTGAGGTCAAGAGTTCAAGACCAACCTGGCCAACATGATGAAAGCCTCTACTAAAAATACAAAAAAATTAGCCGTGGTGGTGCACACCTGTGATCCCAGCTACTGGAGAGGCTGAGGCAGAATTACTTGAATCCAGGAGACAAAGGTTGCAGTGAGCTGAAATTGTGCCACTGCACTCCAGCCTGGGCAACAGAAACTCCATCTCAAAAAAAAAAAGAATGAGAGAAGACTATACTTTAGAGCCTGCCAAAATCTTGGAAAAGAGGCAGGGACCTGCAGGCCTGATGACACATAAAGAAAGGGATTAATACCTCAAAAGAAAAAGTTAATGGTCCGTGATCAAAAACAGCTCTAGGACCAGGCGTGGTGGCTCACACCTGTAATCCCAGCACTTTGGGAGGCCAAGGTGGGCAGATCACTTGAGCTCAGGAGTTCAAGACCAGCCTGGCCAACATGGTGAAACCCCATCCTTACTACAAATACAAAAATTAGCCAGGCAGGGTGGCACACACCTGTAATCCCAGCTACTTGGGAGGCTGAGGCAGGAGAATCACTTGAACCCAGGAGACAGAAGTTGCAGTGAGCCGAGATCATGCAGCTGTACTCCAGCCTGGGTGGCAGAGTGAGACACTCTCAAAAAAAAAAAAAAAAAAGAAAGGAAAAAAGGAAAAGAAAATAGCTGTAGGAAATTTTGCTTTCCTTGTTACTTGGTTAGAAAAATCACCTTCAGATGCCCAAAACGAAAGCCCACAGTGATCGCTATTTATTTGGGTGCTCTCTTGATCTCCAGTGACGTATCAGTGATGGATGTCTGTGATACAGATAAAGTAAACAAAGACATAAGGCTACAGTGATCTATATGGGTTTTCATGGATTTTCATGGATACTTTAAATCCACTAGACTCTAAATTCTTGAGGGCCAGAACCATGTCTGGTCCACTGCGGAATCTCTCATGCCTTATGAATAGTCTGGTTCATGGAGTGCTCAATAAATATTTGTGGAACAAACAAATAGAAGAATTCTCATTATTGGCCTTTACCTCCTCCTCCTCTATTTTAGTATATAAGCTAAATATTAAGAATTTTTAAATTGGAGCCATTTTGGAATCAGTGAGATTCAGTGGAAAGAACCAGAGAAAATGGATTCTATTCTGGAAAAGCAAGCTAGTCACTTCATTACTCTAGACCAGGAGTCTGCTGTGCGATGAGGAATTTTGCTGATTATCAGAATTCCTGAAAGTAACTCCGGGCTCCATCCCAGGAAATTCCAATATAGTGCATCTGGAGTGGCACCCGGGAATATGAACTTTTAAGGAACTGAGACAGTCAGCTATGTTTAACCCCATAGGTAAGATGGTTTTTAGAGTTCCTACCAGCTGGCCAGGCACAGTGGGTTGCACCTGTAATCCCACCAATTTGGGAGGCCAAGGCAGAAGGACTGCTTGAAGCCAAGAATTTGAGACCAGCCTGGGCAGCATAGTGAGACCTCATCTCTACAAAAAATTAAAAATTAAAAATTAGTCCTGGCTACTTAGGAGGCTGAAACAGGAGAATTGCTTGAGCCCAGGAGGTCAAGGCTACAGTGAACTATGATCGCTCCATTGCATTCCAGCCTAGGCAACAAGGCAAGGCTAAAGTTCCCACCAGCTGTGAAATGCCAAGTCTCATGGGACTCTATACCTAAATGTCAGAACACGATTTAAACTATTTTTCCCCCATAGGCTACTGAAAGCATTAAAATGCTGGTGACACTGTGTCAGTCTGACACTGAAGAAATCAGAAATGTGGCCTCAGAAACCCTCTTGTCTCTGGGTGAGTTTTATTGTTGTTGTTGTTGTTTACGTGATTGTTAGCTTCTAGCACTCTCAAGGAGAACAGTAAGGAGAAGTTTCATGTACCCCGTTTTAGCAGTTTCCTCCCTGGAGGCTGTCTTCCCACACTCCGAGTACAAAGAACCCATCAGTGTCCATCTCACCCCAACTCCTTCTTCTGTCTGGTTGCTAATTATAATACAGAATATAATAAAGAATATAATTATATTCTCTGGAGCTTCTCTCTATGGATTGATCAGTCTGTGTACTATCTGGAATCAAGAACACAGAAGTCAAACCATAAAGCAGAGGCAAGAGGAATCCAGGTTGGGTTGCCAGGGTGGGATTAACAGTCCCTGGAGCACAGAGATTGGTTGAGGTACCAGAGATGCATCCCAGGGAATGCTGTACAGCCCCAGGTATCTCAGCCTCACCCTGACTCCCAGGTTAACCTCTGACTGACCTGTGGCCTCTGCCCATCTGAGCCCTGATACCTAAGAAAAGAATTGGAGTACTTATTTTATTCTGGAATATCCAGATAACCCTTCCTTTTTAATTTATTTTATGAAGATTCATTCCTAGCAGGTGTTATACATTTATTCTTTTTTGGGAACTTGAGAGAGTAAGGAAAGCCTTTCTTAACTCTGTATTAAAAATTATAAGTAGCCGGGTGTGCTGGTTCATGCCTATAATCCCAGCACTTTGGGAGGCCAAGGCAGGAGGATCACTTGAGGTCAGGAGTTTGAGACCAGCCTGGCCAACATGATGAAACCCCATCTCTACTAAAAATACAAAAATTAGCCAAGTGTGGTGGCATGCACCTTTAGTCCCAGATACTTAGGAGGCTGAGGTAGGAGAATCGCTTGAAACCAGGAGACAGAGGTTGCAGTGAGCTAAGATCGCATCATCGCACTCCAGCCTAGGGGACTGCAGAGCAAGACTCTCTCAAAAGAAAAAAGTATAAATAGTTACTATAAATAATTTTACTTCAACAGCATACTCTTAAAGTGTAAAAACTATGCTCCTAGAAATCCTCAGTAGCCAATCAATAATGCAGCTTAGAAAAAAGCCACCCGGCCAGGCTCGGTGGCTCACACCTATAATCCCAACACTTCAGGAGGCCGAAGTGGGTGGATCACAAGATCAAGAGATCGAGACCTTCCTGGCTAACATGGCAAAACCCTATTTCTACTAAAACTGCCAAAAAAAAAAAAAAAAATTAGCTGGGCGTGGTGGCACACGCCTGTAGTCCCAGCTACTCGGGAGGCTGAGGCAGGAGAATTTTGCTTGAACCCAGGAGGTGGAGGTTTCGGTGAGCCAAGATCACGCCACTGCACTCTAGCCTGGGTGATAGAGCAAGATTCCATCTTAAAAAAAAAAAAAATAGAAAAAAAAAAAAGCCACCCTTGTTTGGTGATAGTAACTTAACAACATGAAGAAGAATCTCATGGCATTTATAATCACTGTGAAAATCCCACTTATTTTTAGGCCCTCTTTCTTACAATTATGGGTTTAACAAGGCTTCGTTCCGCTATTGAATATATTATTTCTTGCACAGAAATCAGCCAGTATATATTTGTTTAAAGGATAAAAGTTATTCCTTATGACATAGAAATTATTTAATTCTCCAAAAATATACCCAGGGTATTATTACTTTAAACTCCTTTATCCCTTTGTATTCCAAAATAACCATGAAGGTAAGCCAGGCACTTACAAAGTATAGCCAACAAAGCTTCTATTTCCAGTGTAACCTAAGGGAGTTGATCCCTACAGAATGTGCCCCGGGACCCACTGGAGCTGTGCAAACAGCAGCATCTCCAGAAGCCATCACCATGCCTGCCTCACCCCAGCTCTTCACGCACACTCTCACCAGCCGCATGCTCTCTCATACCACCAGTGTGCAGTGCTCAACACTGGCTGTACATTTGCCAGGGAAGCTTAAACAATCTACTCCCAAAGATTCTGCTTTCATTGGTCCGAAGTGTACCTTGGCAACAGGATTTTTTTAAAGCCTCCCAAGGGATTCTAACGTAAAGTTTGAGAACTCCCTGACCTCAATACTGTGAATCTTCTTTGACCTTAATACACAAATACTGGCACATTTTTCTCTCATACAAATGACTGAATATAATGAAAATAGTATTTTCAATAGGAATTAATAAAATGCCTTATGACAAAGGGCAGAAGGTCATTGCAGGTACTTGAAGGACTCGGGGCTGCAACTGTTTACCAAGCAGTATGGAATGATTTCGCTATTTTAACCTAGAGCTGTGCGATAGAGCCCTCCGTGGTGATGGGATTGTTCTATACGCACACTGTCCAGTACCACAGCAGTCATCCTAAGTGGCTGTTGAGTTGTTCACCTTCGCCACTGTGATTGAAGAACTAAAGTTTTAAGTTTACTCAATTTTGAGGCCAGCTGCTCCTTAACTTTCAATGGGGTTACAACCCAATAAACCCATTGTAAGCTGAAAATATTGTTAAGTCAGAAATGCACTTAATACGTCTTACCTACAGATCATCATAGCTTAGCCAAGCCTACCTCAAACATGCGCAGAACACTTACATTAGGCTACAGCTGGGCGAAATCATCTAACACAAAGCCTATTTTATAATAAATGCTGAAGAGCTCATGGATTGTATTGAATACCAGGCTAAAAAAGTATGGTTTCTACTTAACGCATACAGCTTTTGCATCATTGTAGTCAAAGAATCCTAAGTCTAAGCCATTATAAGTCAGGGACCATCTGTAATTACCATTTAAGTGTAAACGTGGTTGGTGGCCACATGTGATTGGTGGACAGAACCGTTTCACGCTGACTACGGCCATTCCAGTGCAGCGCAGCTGGACCTCAGGCCTGCTTGGTACCACACTCCCTGACTCCCCAAAGCTCCTGCTCTCTCCCCTCCAACACTCTGCCTACTTCACACGGCAGTTAAAGGATTGGCAGAGGGCCAGGTGCAGTGGCTCATGCCTGTAATCCCAGCACCTTGGAAGACCAAAGCAGAAGGATTGCTTGAATGCAAGGGCACAGGAGTTCAAAACAGCCTGATATCTCTACAAAATAAAAATAAATAAAATTAGCCAGAGCTGGGGGCGTGATAGCTCATCTCTGTAATCCTAGCACTTTGGGAGGCCAAAGTAGAAGGATTGCTTGAGGGTATGAGTTTTTTCTTGGTTTGTTTGTTTAATAATTTTACTCATTTAAAAAAAAAAATTTCAATTTGATAGAGATGGGTTTTGCCATGTTGCCCAGGCTGGTCTCTAACTCCTGGGTTCAAGAGATCCTCTCACTAAGGCCTTCCAAAGTGCTAGGATTACAGGCATGAGCCACTGCACTGGCCGAGGCCAGGAGTTTGAGACCAGCCTGGGCAACATAACAAGATTTTCTCTACAAAAAAACAAAACAAAACATTTTTTTTTTAGGTAGCCAGGCATGGTGACATGAGCCTGTAGTCCCAGCTACTCGGGAAGCTAGGTGGATCACTTGAGCCTAGGAGGTCAAAGCTACAGTGAGCTGTGACTGTGTCACGGCATTCTAGCTCTAGCTCTTAAAAAAAAAAGGATTAGGAGACGAGCCAACACAGATCAAGACCCACTGAAAACTGAGTGAGAGTGAGATACCCACCGTACTGTAATAATGTCACTGTAATGATATTGGCTAACACCCACAGAGGACTTGCTCCAGGCCAGGAACTGTTTTGAGGGATCGGCAAGGGTTAACTCATTTAGTTCTCCCAAGAACTCCATAAAGGCAGAAGCCCTATTAGTTTCATTTTACAGAATAGCAGGCTGAGGTTGTATAACTTGCCTATCGGCACCCTAGTCAGGCACCAACATGGAATCTTGGCCCTGGACGCCACTGTACCCTGTGGGACTCGGGGAGAAGAAGATAACATCTCTAAACTAAAATCTATTATGAGGAAACTAGGAACGGAACTGGCCTAGCAGTCGTGGTTCTTCAAGTGCATTTGTTAGCTGCGGTGTCTAGAGGGGGGTGTGCAAGTGGGCAAGGAGGGAGCACGGGAATGAGCCTGACTCAGGCCCTGTTTCTCCATTTTCTCCTGCCATCAATGGGAAAGGTCCTATTTAATCTATTTTATATGTCAGTGTTTTGTATATCAACATTTTGTTTTGAGTAAAGGGTTCTACTCCAAAGTAATAAAAATTTGAAAGCTACCAAAATAGAAAAAATGGAGCATTGCCCCTGCAAAGTCAAAGCATGCAGAGACTACTAAAAAACATCTCTTTCACGGGCAACATTGTGCAAAAAAAGAAAAAAAAAAACATCTCTTGGCCGGGCACAGTGGCTCACACCTGTAATCCCAGCACTTTGGATGGCTGGGGCGGGTAGATCACAAATTCAGCAGTTCAAGGCCAGGCTGGCCAATATGGTGAAACCCTGTCTCTACCAAAAATACAAAACTTGGCTGGGCATGGTGGTGGGTACCTGTAGTCCCAGCTATTCGGAAGGCTGAGGCAGGAGAATTGCTTGAATCCAGGAGGCAGAGGTTGCAGTGAGCTAAGATCGCTTCATCGCACTCCAGCCTGGGCGACAGAGTAAGACTGTATCTCAAACAAAAAAATTTTTTTTGAAAGTTAGCAGGCTTTTGCCTGTAGAAAAGCTCATTCTGCAAGGTTCTTTTAAATACAGGCAGATATGTTTTCCTATCTAAGGTGTTCCTGAAAAAATTAAACATAGGGGGGAAAACCCTAACCAGACTTTTGCCTTACTGAAATGTTTCTGTTTCAAGAGACTGCAATATATTAAAAATCCATAATTACAGTCCTTTTCTAAAACCCTCTCATCTCGATATAATTCCCACATTTTCTGAATCTTTTTTTTTTTGTTTTCCTTCACAGTGAACTTCTTTTTTTCTTTTTTTTTTTTTTTTTTTTTTTTTGAGACAGAGTCTCGCTCTAATCACCCAGACTGGAGTGCCGTGGTGTGATTCCATCTCATTGCAGCCTCTGGCCCCAAGTACAAGTGATTCTCCTGCCTCGGCCTCCCAATAGATAGTACTATAGGCGGATGCCGCCACGCCAGCTAACTTTTTTTGTATTTTTTAGTAGAGATGAAGTTTCACTGTGTTGGTCAAGCTGGTCTCAAACTCCTGACCTCAAGTGACCCACTCACCTTGGCCTCCCAAAGTGCTGGGATTACGGGAGTGACCCACCATGCCGAGCTGAACTTCTGCTTGAGCACAACTATTCCATCTTTGTCCCACTTGCATCAAATGTATGAAAGCCTGCTTCTTATCACTTGTCTCTGCATTTTATTTTCTCATTTTCTAATCATTTTTTAAAGCAGAAAATAGAGTAAGATATTCAAATTATTTGCAAATGCATCTTAACTGTTCAAGGTGGTGCTACAGGGAAAACTGAACTAGCTGATGGCTGGTAGAAGGAGCTCCCTATGTTTACATAGCAAAGAGTAATTTTTAGCTGAAGTTTGAAAGCCGAAGATTGATTTTACCAATGATCATTTCGATGTATCAATATATAATGTATAGTAAAAGTTCAATGCATTAAAGTCAAGGACCAGCCACACTGAAATCCCTAATGTACTTAAAATAAGTCCATATGCTTGCTCTGAAATAAAGCTGTTATGTGAAATTATCAACATCAAATGGCCATAAGACTTCTACTCTGTTTCATGCCCTGGCGTTCCTTTGGGCTCTGGCATTATTAGCTTAAAAGTTCTTGGTTGTTCTAAGCATTACCTGGAGAACAATGACATACTTAAGAATAACAAAAGCTAACACAGAGTATTACAGCAGTGCACGCTTAAACAATTGGTACTATGTTACTTTGAGTAATGAATAAAAACATTAAGTTTGAATCGGCATGTATGTTTAATGTTTTATATTTAGGAGAAGATGGACGGCTGGCATATGAACAATTGGACAAATTTCCTCGAGACTGTGTTAAAGTCGGAGGTCGTCATGGAACTGAGGTTGCCACAGCTTTTTAATTACAGGTTAACTGCCTAACAGCTGTCTTAATATATGCCCTTTTCATCAAGATGGTGCTGTGATGTGGCTGGAAATTGTTTAGAACCTCAAAGTTCTGCTGAACTTATCTGAATATTTAACATGTTATAGGGCATGGTGGCTCACGCCTACTCCTAGCATTTTGGAAGGCCAAGGCAGGAGAATTGCTTAGGCTGAGGAGTTTAAGACCAGCCTGGGCAACATAACAAGGCCCTGTCTCTACAAAAAAAAAAAAAGTTTAATTAGTCAGGTGTGGTGGCATGCACCTGTAGTCCCAGCCACTTGGGAGGCTAAGGTGGGAGGATTGCTTGAGCCCAGAAGACTGAGGCTGCAGTGAGTCGTAACTGCACCACTGCACTCCAGACTGGGTGACAGAGCAAAACCCTGCCTCAAAACACAAAACAGCAAAGACAAAAAAACATGTTATAGAAAGAATTCAGAGTCTAGTTTTACAGTATCTATCTACTTTTCCTTTGGCCAATATAGAATAGGGGTATGTATAATTCAATAGATTACATCCTTGATTGTGTCTGACAATACTCAGTGGAAGAGTCCATCTTAATATGTATGAAATTTTAAAATAGCCATCTTTGTACTTTTTTGCAAGTTCCTCTATAAGCCTGAAATAGTCACGTGATACTTTGATAACTATCTTATGCCTTGCAGTTTTTCTCTGTCCTGTTCTCAGGGTTGAGTGGTCCCCTTAGCTACCTAACTTTACTTTCAATACAAAGCACAAAGAAGAATCTCTTCAAATAAAAGAACCTGGCAGAATGACCCATTGTGAGGGTTTAGATGTTTTAATTTTATGTGCGCCCACCTACTCTGGAGACTGAGGTGGGAAGATCGCTTGAGGCAGAGGTTGCAGTGAGCCGAGCTTGCACCACTGCACTCCAGCCAGATGACAGAGGAGCGAGACCCAGTCTCAAAAAGAAAACAAACAACAAACAAAAAACACCCTCCCTCAATTTCTTTCGTTTCTTTTCCCCATCCTGAAAATTCAAAAACCAGTTTTCCATTGTAGAAAACAGATAAGTAAATGACGAAGAACTACCTTAAGGTTATACCTATACACTTAATAAAAAACAACAAACTTAGTGCTTTTTTAAAAAAAAAAAAAAAAAATTAAGAGCCATTTTTTATGATATTCTTACCGTAGGGGTATTTTGCTGCTAAGACAAATCAAAACCAAAAGCTGTAGATTCACAAAGCTGTGATGCTCTTTGAGGTGGAAGAATCCGGAAGTTGGAGAAATCCTAACGGAGTAGGAGCGGAGGGACATTTAAAGTGGTCCCTGCATCTGTAAAAATGACCATGAGATTAGAAAAAAGAAGGACACCCTGAGGGATGGTTACTGCCCCCAGGGAAATCACTCACCGGTAGGACTCCCTGGCCAAACAGTTAAAACATCAGGTCCCATCATTGCTTCACTATCAGAGATGCAAGTCCATTAAGCAAAGTACAAGACCGTTCAGTAGCTCTTGTTAAAATATCTTTTCTTCCTCTAAAGAATATACAAGGTGGGGTATGCCAAGGTATCAACACAGTATATGTGAGTGCAATTTAAACTGTGGAATATCAACTGTACTATGGACGTGTTTGTATCATTTAGATGTGATTTTAAATATTTACATTTTAGCAAGACTTTTAAAAAGGACTCATTTCATTTCAAATTGCAAAGTGTTTGCCAGGCTTCTGGCAAATAGTTATTTCAACTGTGAAGTTACAATGTACATATCTGTATATTTATAAATATTATATATATTCACATGCCCTTCACTTTAAAGGTACATTGTACAGTCTGTAGTTAGTATGTATAGTCTGTAGTTTATGTTAAATGGTTGAAATGGTTCTTTCTAATAGCAAGTCAAATCACAGATCTTACAGGATTTTGTGTTTGGTTTATTTTTTAGTGTTTTGACTACTGCATGAGGAATTAATTCCAGATATTTTGTATTCACTTCTGTATTTTATGTTTGGTTGAGGGGGTGCCTTTTGTTTTGTGGCATTTGTATTCATTGCTCTTTCAGTCATGTAAGTTAAAATAAAAATTATTTTTGAATTACGAGCATTATGTGTAGAGTCTGTTACTTTTTTACACATGCCCTTTATGAGTTGGTATTTACGAACACACTGCACTTCATTCTCAACTTGATTTTATTCTTAATTTGAAATTCCTTTATCTCTAAGTAGAGATAATAAATCTCAGATTTGTTGTAAAGCTAATTGGAGAGACAACAGCTATGTTTCACTGCTATGGTATCTGTGAGCAGAGACTGTGAGCTCCCTGAGGGCAAAAAGTCATGGTGGCTCAAGCCTGTAATCCCAGCATGAAGGGAGGCTGAGGCAGGAGAATCACCTGAGGTCAGGAGTTCGAGAGCAGCCTGGACAACACAGTGAAACCATGTCTTTACTAAAAATACAAAAATTAGCTGGGTGTGATAGCACACACGTGTAATCCCAGCTATTCAGGAAGCTGAGGTGGAAGAATTGCCTGAACCCAGGAGAAGGTTGCAGTGAGCCAAGATCGTGCCACTGTACTAGCGAGAGCCAGCTCAGCTGTAGAGACCCCCACCCAGGTGGCGCTGAATGAATCGAGAGGCAGTCACCCTGACAGAACAGCAACATGGGACTATCGGCGGGCGGCCGCAGCCTTCCCAGCTGAGAGCCTGAGGGGATGATGGCATTCCAGGCTGAAGGACCCCAGCAGATTCTGATCCACATATTTAGTCTCTCTGAACAGGTGATTATTATTAACAGGTGTTCTGTATTTTCTCATAACAAAACCTACCAAGGAGGCAGCTGTTGCCCACTCACCACTGATTACAAACATGCTAAAAGGTATTCTCCACGAGGGAGCCACGGGGGCAGGGCAGATATCTCAAAGAGTTGTTTTAACCGGTGTGTGATGTTTATACCTTGTCCTGCCACTTTGGAATGCCCCAAGTAGTTTTCTGCTCGGGGTGGGGGTGGCTAGGTGTTCCTTGCCATCGTTCTTCCTAGCAAACAATATATTTTATCATACACTCAGCGTTTCTCAATATTCATAAACTTTACATTTCTCAACACTGCACTCCAGCCTGGGCAACAGAGTGAGATTCTGCCTCAAAAAAAAATTTTTAAAGCCTGCATTGATATGTGTATGCTCCCACTCAGACCTCAAGCATCATCACAAAGGAGCCCCTGACTTCGAACTCAGTTTTTACAAAGGGACTCACGAAATACCAGTGACTGCTTTTACTGAGTCAGTGGTAAAAAAAAAGTTTCCTCTATAAGGCTTGCTACTATGCTGTTTAAATTGCTTTAGTTACTTGACAAAATTATAAAGTAAAATTTTAAACCTTAGTTCACTGAAAAATGCAAGTACTTCTCGCCGTATCAGAAAAAGTCAAATAAAAAAATATTTTATCCCTGACTTTTTCCTAGAGACGGTGCCTCTTAGTAAACAAATAATATCTTTTGATTCTGAGAAAGTCCTAAGTACAACTTGTTCAAGGAATAATAATTGTTTGCTAAAAATTAGGTCTCTAATTTCTCATGCATTCAACAAGTATTTGTTGCTTACTTACTATGAACAAGGTGTATGCCAAGGACTGTTCTTGGCACTGGAGATAGAGTAGTGGAGAAAAACAGAAGACATAACAACCCCTGCCCTCCCAGGCCTCATATCCTGGCAAGGGAAGACAGCAAAGCAGAGAAGGGGAAAAATGATTGCACAGGTAGGGTGAAGAGAGGCACAGGGAGAAGGCAAAGTTCACAAGTTTAATGAGAGGCGTCAGGGACCGAGCACAGTGGCTCACACCTGTAATCCCAGCACTTTGGGAGGCCGAGGCTAAGGATCCCTTGAAGCCAGGAGATCAAGACCAGCCTGTATGACATACTGAAACTCTCATCTCTACAAAAATGTTTAAAGCTAGCTGGATGTGGTGTGCACCAGGGGTCCCAACTACTCGGGAGGCTGACGTGGGAGGACTGCTTGAGCCCAGGAGTTCGAGGCTGCGGTGAGCTATGGTCGTGCCACTGCACTCTACCCTGGGTGACACCACAACACCCTGTCTTAAAAAAAAAAAAAGAGTGCAAAGGCCTCACAGAAAATTACCTTTGAGGACTGGCCTGAGGAGCTAATGGGATGAGTCGTGTAGATTATCTCTGAGAAGAACATTCCAGACAGAAGCAACCGGAGGCAACCAAAATATTCCTCACTAAGATGCTGGGGATTACAGTGAAAAGGTTAAACAGGAACATACTCTACCTCTCCTTTCTGGCTCAGTCAGCTCCCAAACAGAGCTCAGAGGCAGCAGTGCTAGAGGACCCAGAAACAGACTTCACTCTTCCCATCAATTTACCTCCTCGAATTTTCCGACCTTCTGGGAGCCTGAAGATGGTCTTTTGTCTTGTCACTAGATAAGATTCGTGGCTCTTTGTCAAAATCGTATTTAAGCGAGGCCCCTGAGCCATTGCCTAGAGAGAGAAATACTTCTGAACTGAGGTCTCTCCTACACGTTAGGTACAACACACATTAATAAACTTCTACTTATCTTTCCTTTGTTAATCTGACTTTTATTTTCAGGACAGTGTCTCAACAAAAAACCTAAAAATGGAGGCCGGGTACAGTGGCTCACGCATGTAATCCCAGTGCTTTGGGAGGCCGAGGGAGGCAGATGATGAGATCAGGAGATTGAGACCACCCTCGCTAACATGGTGAAATTCCATCTCTATTAAAGATACAAAAAATTAGCAGGGCGTGGTGGCGTTCACCTGTAGTCCCAGCTACTGGGGAGGCAGAGGCATGAGAATCCCTTGAATCCAGGAGGCGAAGGTTACAGTGAGCTGAGATCGCGCCACTGCACTCCAGCCTGGGTAACAGAGCAAGACTCTGTCTCAAAAAAAAAAAAAAAAAAGTAGAGCCAATACATTTGTTAAGTTGAAAATGAGATGTGAAATAGATAGAAGCCAAGGATGAATCCAGAATTTTTTACCTGAACAACTAGAAGGATGGAATGCCATCTTCCAAGATAGAGAACCTGAGAAGCAGCAGGTCTAGGGAGGAAGACCTGGAAAAAGCCTCTTGGACATTCAAATGGGGAGATCAAGCTGATGTCTGAATATGAGTCTGGAGTTCAGGTGAGAAATCCAGTTAAAGGTGTAAAGTTAGAGCAGGCGTAGTGGTTCATGCCTGTAATCACAGCACTCTGGGAGGCCAAGTGTGGGAGGATCACTTGAGGCTAAAAGTTCAAAACAGCCTGGACAATACAGTGAGACCCATCTCTTAAAACGAATTTAAAAATTTGCTAGGTATGGTGGCCGATAGTCCCAGCTACTCAGGAAGTTGAGGCAAGAGGATCACTTGAGCCCAGGAGATCGAGGCTGCAATGAGCTGTGATTGGGCCACTGCACTCTACCCTGGGCAACAGAGCAACAGGTCTCAAAAAAATTTATATATATATATAAATTATATATATAAAATTGGGAGTCTTCAGTATATGGATAATAGTTAAAGCTATAAACTGGTTTACCTCATCTAGAAAGTACAGATAAGGGCCAGGCATGGTGGCTCACATCTGTAATCCCAGCATTTAGGAGGCCAAGGTGGGTGGATTGTTTGAGCCCAGGAGTTCAAGACCAGCCTAGGCAACATGGCAAAACCCCATCTCTACAAAAAATTAGCTGGGCGTGGTGGTGTGCACCTGTGGTCCCAGACACTCAGAAGGCTGAGGTGGAAGGATCACCAAAGCCCAGGAGGTCGTGGCTACAGTGAGCCAAGATCACGCAGTGCACTCCAGCCTGGGGGACAGAGAGAGACCTTGCCTCAAAAAGAAAAAAAAGAAGAAGAAGAAAAGAACACATACGAAGACTGATGAGCCTTGGGGCCCTCCAATATTTAGAGGTCATAAAGAAGAAGGGGAATCAGTAAAGAAAAATGATGAGTACAGGAGAAGAAAAATCAGGAATGTGGTATCTTAGAAGCTGGTGAAAAAAGTGTTTCAGAGAGAAAGGAGTATCAAATATCAAAGAATTGAATTCAGCAGAAGAAAGGTCATCAGCGACCCTGAAGGCAATGTCAGTGGAGTCATGGGGCTGAAATTTTATTTGGAGTTCATCCAAGCAAGAATGAGAAAGACTGGAGCTGGTGAGTACAGCAGCTCTTTAAAGAGCTGGCTACAGAGGGTGCCGGGAACTGGGTGTGCAGTAGCTGCAGGGAAAAAGCATATCAAGTCAAGAGACTGGTTTTTGTTTGTTTGTTTGTTTTGTTTCGTATGTTTTTGAGACGGAGTCTCATTCTGTCGCCAGGCTGGAGCGCAGTGGCGCAATCTTGGCTCACTGCAACCTCTGCCTTCCGGGTTCAAGGGAGTCTCCTGGCCCAGCCTCCCAAGTAGCTGGGACTACAGGCACGCACCACCACACCCAGCTAATTTTGTATTATTAGTAGAGACGGGCTATTAGTATGTTGGCCAGGATAGTGTCAATTTCTTGACCTCGTGATCCACCCGTCTCGGCCTCCCAAAGTGCTGGGATTATAGGTGTGAGCTACCGCGCCCAGTCAGTTTTCTTTCTTCAATGAGAAAAAAAGAGAGTGTTTGTTGATAATGCAAAGGATCCAGTTGAGATGGAAAAATTACCAAGATAAGAGAAGAACTGTAGAGCAATATCCTTGAGTGCAGTGAGAGGAACTGATTGACATCTACTGCACAGAGAGGGTATCCATAGTAACCGGAAAGTCAGAGTCTACGGGTACTGTAGACACAGATAGGTGGGTGAGTAAAAGTTATGCAAGTTCTCTTTCCTTCTTTTTAATTTGCAGTAATTGGTAACAAAAGTTCTCTTTTAATTGCTTCTAGTTTCTCAGCAAAACAGGATAAACCTATGATGCAGAGAGCTCTCTTTGGGTAGCAAACAAGCAAAAGAGGTAATAATACTATGAAAGATCAGTGGAAAGACGCTAAGTACATGTTGGAATAGTCAGATTAGAATGGGCAAGTTCCACATCTGCCCTGCCTGAGCAAAGGTTCAAAGACAGTAGTGAGATTCATATGCATTAGGGGAAACAAGTTTAAGTTGAGGTTTTGCACACCAGAGAAGTGAAAATAAAATTGGTTTAGTCCAAATGGTAGAAGGCCTTCAATGACAAGCTGAAGACTTTAGGAATATACTGCTTTCCCCTGGCTCTATATTCCATTCTACAGTGTTGCTAAGTGATGCATTCCAGAGTTCTTGACTGTGAACTCCTGTGACTGCCAGTGGTGCACCTGAAGGACCACTGGCCTTTTTACACAATGGCTAACAGCCGACTTTCTTGTACACAAATTTGGGTTAAGATGTATGGGTATTTTGCGAGGCTGTGTCAGCGCCTCTGGTATTTCTGGTGTGTCACTGTGAAGGGCTTTTTTGTTAAGAAGAAGGAAAAACAAATCCCTCCAGCTGAGGTTTATTTTCATAAAGGAAAAATTGTTGTACTTGGCCAAATGTTGATGAATGAATCTCTACCCATTGAGAAGAGAGCTCAAGCTGCCAAGGAAATTGGACTGCTGGCCTTCACAGGTACTGATCTCACCAGCTGCGCTAAAATGAGTGTTTCTCGACACTCATAACACTGTAGTTTAGCAATTTTTGTTAGCTGTAATCTTAAAATTCTGTTAACATTTCACTGAATCAAATTATTTTGTCTTTGCACCAAAAATATTACTAATTATTTTCTACTCAAGGATCTCATGTTTTAAAAGAATGTGCCCATCAAATAAGCTACTAGTTAAATGTTTCCCATTTTTATTAATTAAAATATATATGTACTACAATGCCTATCAAAGTTCTCATTAACATTTAAAAAGCTGAAGACTACACTGATTTGATTTTTTTCTAATTTTATGACAGATTATAATTTCAATCTAGTGATATGATTCCAATGCAGAATAAAACTACCTGATATTTCATTTTTTATTTTTTGCATTGTACAGTAAATATCTTAGAAAAATCAATAAAAACTTAACGTTCTTTCTTTTTTCTCGAGACAGAGTCTTGCTCTGTTGCCCAGGCTGGAGTGCTGTGGCACGATCTCAGCTTATTGCAACCTCTGCCTCCTGGGTTCAAGCAATTCTCTTGCCTTAGCCTCCCAAGTAGCTGCGATTACAGGCACACGCCACCATGCTGGCTGATTTTTTGTATTTTTAGTAGAGACAAGGTTTCATCATGTTGGCCAGGCTGGTCTTGAACTTCTGAGCTCATGATCTGCCCACCTCCCCTCGCAAAGTACTGGGATTACAGGCATGAGCCACCGCACCCAGCCAAAAACTTACTACTCTTAAGACACCTGCTAGGTAAACCAGTAGCAGCAACGATTAATGTGTAATTGGCTAGAAAGTAAAGTGGAAAATAAAGTGGTAACCGTTTTAACACACATTGCTCTAATAATCATCAAGTCCAAACTCACTCCATTTTTTTTCTAATTGATAAATTTTACGATGTATAATGAGATTTTATAGACTGTCCCTGTCCTCAATAACACATCTCTTCTAATAAGAAGCTCTGGCTGGTGGCTCTAAGAGTCTTAGATTGATTGTTTTCATTTTCATTTTAATTTTTTTTGAGATGAAGTTTCGCTCTTGTTGCCTGGGCTTGAGTGCAGTGGTGTCATCTTGACTCACTAAAACCTCCACCTCCCGGCTTCAACGATTCTCCTGCCTCAGCCTTCCCAGTAGCTGGGATTACAGGTGCCCACCACCATGCCCAGCTAATTTTTTGTATTTTTAGTAGAGATGAGGTTTCACCATGTTGGACAGACTGGTATCGAACTCCTGATCTCAGGTGATCCACCCACCTCAGCCTTCCATAGTGCTAGGATTACAGGCGTTAGGCACCACGCCTGGCCCCTTAGATTGAGTTTTAAGTGGGAAAATGAATTACTTAGATGTAGCTGGATAGACTAAATCTTTCAAAGAATGCACTTCATGAAAGAAGACAGTAAAAGGAATCCTTGTTGCCAGAATGGCTGGGAACTACTGAGAGCTAGAAGGGAGACAGGAAGCATAGGAGATGCAGCCATCTGTGCGGGGGAAAGGGCTACCCCATCATGGGGCGGGCTGAGTTCTCTATGCAGCTATCTTCATCAATTGTGGGAAGAGCTAGCTAATTATAAAAGGATCAGAATTCTTTAATCTGATGGTATTTAGCCTTAGCTGTTCCGGTAGGAGCTAGGGAAAGGGCCTCTGCCTAGGCTTCAGGCAAAGCTGTAATGTTGAATATAACATTCTTAGGACCATGGAACTGTGGAGTACAAGTAAGAGAAATCCAAGTGGGATCAAAACTCCAGTGGCGCCAGGCGCGGTGGCTCTCACGCCTGTAATCTCAGCACTTGGGGAGGCAGAGGTGGGTGGATCACTTGACCAGCCTGGCCAAAATGATGAAACCTCATCTCTAAAAATACAAAAATTAGCCAACTGTGGTGACATGCGCCTGTAATTCCAGCTACTTGGGAGGTTGAGGCAGTAGAACTGCTTGAACTCAGGAGGTGAAGGTTGCAAGAACCGAGATCGTTCCACTGCATTCCAGCCTGTACAACAGGGCGAGACCCTGTCTCAAGAAAAACCACAAAAAACAAAAAACTCCAGTGGCAAAAATCTGACCAGCTTTGTCAGCTACTCCTCACCACCTAAAAAGTCTTCACCTAGTGTCTTCTTGGCTAGTACCTTGTTGGAGTTTGACATTTGCATATTTATATGGTGAAAGTAGAGTCTAGGGCCAGACTGGGTCAGTGGCTAAACAAGAAAAATCTTATAAGGTCATGTTGGTCCCATAGCTGCAAAAGAGCTGAGGTAAGAAATTTGTAAGCAGAATAGGACAGCAATGGATAGAAACTAAGGAAAACCTCCCTCCCACTGGTCAGTCCCTGGCTGTGCTGCTCAACCTCTCAATTTGCTCTTGGCTCTAATGCTCTGGGATCCTTCTGGTTTTTTCTTTCCAGTACTAAAGGCAGATAATCCAGAATGAGATCATGAAGGAGATTTGCTAAGCGAACGCAGCCTGGTTTTATTCACCGTGAAATACTCACTCCCAATTGGCTGGGCACGATGGCTCACGCCTGTAAATCCCAGAACTTTGGGAGGCTGAGGCAGGTGGATTACAAGTTCAGGAGTTCAAGACCAGCCTGGCCAACATGGTGAAACTGCGTCTCTACTAAAAATATAAAAATTAGTTGGGCTTGGTGGTGTACGCCTGTAGTCCCTGGTACTTGGGAGGCTGAGGCAGGAGAATTGCTTGAACCCAGGAGGCAGAGGTTGTAGTGAACCAAGATCATGCCACTTCACTCCAGTCTGGGCAACAGGGGGAGACCCCTTCCCCACCTCCCAAAAAATAGAAAAAGAAAAGAAATACTCATTCCTGGGTGCTTGCTTAAAGGAATCACGGAGGAGACCAGCAGGCAGAGGCCTTGCCATGCTTTTCCTATCACTCCTTGCTTATCAACACACACTTTCAGGTCTTCATGGCAGCAAAATGGGAAGTGGGGAAAAAGGAAAATTCTAAATATATAAAGTGTCCTCTATAGGGCAACAAGAATATGAACACATAGGAGCATTCCGAAGTGTTACTAGCCACTAGATACACCAAATACTTCTGGAAGTGCAAATACTTGTTTTACAGGAGGACCACCTGCTGGGAAATTTGCAGCTGAGTACATGAAAGAAGTGGCTCGCTTGCTGCAAGATGAGGAGTTGGCACCACATATAAAGATCCTGCTGCTCCAGAGTGTGGCATGTTGGTGTTACTTAAACCCTCTCAGCCAGAAAAGAGCCAGAAGTCTGCAATTTATTCCTATTCTCATTAGTTTTTTAGAGGGCAGCTTTGAGTCTTCTACTGAAAGTGAAATAAACAGCTACCTCCTCCTTAAATTTTGGACTTGTTACGTTCTCTCTGTCATGACATGCAACAACTCGTCTTACGTCAAGGAGCTTAAAGACCACAAGAATCTAAAAGATTGTTTGCAAACAATGGCTTCTATGGATTGGACTGGATGGCCAGAGAACTTTGCACAGGTGCTGTATTACCTAATTGGTTTTCACAAGAATTAGTTTCTCCAAACTCAGTTATGTGTTACAGCTCTTTGTGCCATTGTATTATCCTGGAAAACTGAAATAAATCATAAAAATCGATATCTTAATTTTCAGTGTTTTCCTTTGTAGTTGAAGAGTTCTGTATAGATTTTCATACAGTTAACTGCAATAATCAAACTTCAGAGAAGCAATGCTGTTTTTAGTTACCTTGTAGACAGGGCCCATCGAGCTTGCTCATGAGTGTGTTCTCTCCCATTAGGAAATAAAGATGTTAAAGCATGCAGTTGGATACCATGGGGAATATGAATGAAACCACCTTTGCAAAAACGAGGACAGTGAGAAAAATCTGACAGCGAAAGAAAGCTGACCTCACTGACTCCATCTTGCTTCTAACCTCTAAGCTGCCCTTGTTCATTCCTGAGCATAGGCCAAACTAACTTTGGGAAGAATTTAGTTCACAGTTTCACTATGAAACTAAGATGATTACCTAGATTCTTCCCGGAAACAAACTCCTTTCTTGCTTGGGGACCAGACTGCCTCTATAAAACTAACACATTGGCCACAGATTAGAAATTATGGCTCAGGAGTCATGCAGCCAGAGACCACAAGATTCCTAACCTTCCCAGTTGCACCTACAGATAATGTTAGTACTGTAAAACCTACGATTAGTATTTGAGGTATTTTTCAGATCCTGCATTCTCATGGACGAGCTGGCACCACCCAGACTGCCAAGCTGGCTCTTCTGGTCTTGCGGTCCCCAACCAGCAAGTGACTCAGCACAAGAGGACAAGTTCCAGCCTCCTATGATTTCATCCCCAGTGGAACCAATCGGCATTCCCCATTCCCTAGCCCCCCTCCATGAAACTATCCTTAAAAATCCCCAGTCCCCAAATTTTCAGAGAGGCTGATTTGAGTAACAGCAAAACTCTGGTCTCCCATTTAGCCAGCTCTATGTGTATTAAAATCTTTCTCAATTGCAGTTTCCCTGTCTCAATAAATCTGCTCTGTTTTGGTAAAGAAAAAGAATTATTCATGGGGCAGTTACATGAATAGTTGTCAAATTACAAAACTGGAATATTATTTTTTGCCACCTGTTATACAAAGGCCAGAATGTCTAGCCCCAATGTCTACCATTAAATCATAAAACTTATTTTCTAATACATCTCTTTTTGAAGTTGTGTAAAAATATGTATTTTACAATTGATTTCCCATTGGGAAAAAAATCTATGCTGGTTAATTTTTATTTAACCATGTGCTTCTGTGTGGTTAAAAAAAAATTATTAAAAGTTAAAAAAAAAATAAGACCTCATAAAATTTAAATTGATAAAATGGAAATTCATCAGAAGATGCATCATGCATATAACTGTTAGGAGCCATGGTGCACTATGGTAGTTATTAGATGACATTAAACCAAGGCACCCAGAAAAGCCAAATCCTAGCTCAACCCACAGCCACCTCCTGCAGCGGGCAGGAATCCTTTCGGCCCTATTTCGGTACAGAGCCTCTGGTGGTGGTACTTTTGAGATTGCTCTGGCTATCAGAGCATGATCTGGTTGCACATAGGGCTGGCTGGGAATTAGCACTACACGGCAGCAGCCGCAAGTCCACTGGCACAAACGTCTGGAAGGAGATGGAATGCATGTGTCCAGATGCCTAAAGCCAGCCTAAAGTTAGGTAGGCTCTTAGATTTTCATAAAAAGATTGTATTCTCTCTGTTTCATCTATTAGATAATCTGCAACAGAATACCTGCATTCTATGTGTGTTAACCAACCTCATCATAAGTTTTATTTGAAAAAAATAATATTGGCAGAAAAGTGCCTAAGGGATATGTACCTGCTTCTCTGACTACGCTGGCACCTGCCTCTAGCTTCGGTTGCAACCATAACATTGAATTAAGTACTTTCATCTTTCACACACTTGCTTTGACTGAGCTGTGCTATAGTGTTACGCACAGAGGGAGCTACTAAAAAAAAAAAAAAGTCATTCATGTAGATTCATGATCCTCACTTGTATTTGGGATAGGAATGTTGTGGAGGATGCTAATTACATCATTAGACGGGGTTTCCTGGAGAAGGAACTCGGGGGAAGTTTTCTCAGATCTTAGAAACAGAAAAGGCTACGTTCTGCTGAGCAACTGTGCATGTCCATTCTTTGTGGTTTTATGAAGTGTGGAATGTGGAGTTTGTCAACTAGAATCCAATTGATAGGAAGAGAGTAAGGGTTGGAAATCAGAAGTTCCATTTAGATACTAAATCACTGTCAGGAATTACCTCACTGATTGATTGATTGTTGGGACAGCGTCTTACTCTGTCACCCAGGCTGGAGTGCAGTGGTGCAATCACAGTTCATGCCACTGAGTTATGAACTTTATCAAGACAGGGGAACTGCAATAGAGAGGGTTTAATACACATAGAGCTGGCTAAATGGGAGATCAGACTTTTGTTATTACTCAAATCAGCCTCTCTGAAAATTTGGAGGCATAGATTGTACATAACCTTGAAGTCCTTGGCTCAAGCAATCCTCCTGCCTTAGCCCCTCATGTAGCTAGAATTACATGTGCAAGCCACTATGCCCTGCTAATTTCTTTTTCATATGCATATGAAAAGTGTACACACACACACTTTGTTTGTTTGTTTGTTTTTGAGACAGAGTCTTGCTCTATCCCCTAGGCTGGAGTGCAATGGCATGTTCTCAGCTCACTGCAACCTCCACCTCCCGGGTTCAAGTGATTCTCCTGCCTCAGCCTCCTGAGCAGCTGGGACTATAGGCAGGTGCCACCACACCCGGCTAATTTTTTGTATTTTTAGTAGAGACAGGGTTTCACCATGTTGGCCAGGATAGTCTCGATCTCCTGACCTCGTGATCTGCCCACCTTGGCCTCCCAAAGTGTGGGGATTACAAGCGTGAGCCACTGCATCTGGCCTGACACACACATACACGATTTTAAAATAGAGATTGAGTTTGCTATCTTGCCCAGGCTGATCTCAAAATCCCGGGCTGAAGCATTCCTTCCTGTCTTGGCCTCCCAAAGTTTTGGGATTACAGGTGTCAGCCACCACATTCAGCCTTTCAATGCTTTTATAATTAAGTTTTTATTTCAAAGGAATGTACATCCATAGTTTAAAAAGTCAGATAACGTCAGGCCTTTAGTGAGGAACAGCAGTCCCTGAGCCCCCTCCTCATCTGCACTCCCGGAGCTGACCATGTGAATTACTTCCATTGTTTCTTCTAGTATTTATTTACCTCCATATTTCTAAATGATTGATATACATTGTTAATCCTTGGCTTTTTTAATTTTTTTTCAGTTTTGAGGGTGTGTGTTCTTCCTTCTGGAAAGGACAGATGGAATTTGGCACTCTAACACTCCTCTCGCCTACCCCACCTGCTCTCCTCTTCTTCTCCACCTAATGATGTCGCAATTGTTGATTTAAAAAATAGTATAGCTGGGCACAGCGGCTCACGCCTGTGATCGCAGCACTTTGGGAAGCTGAGGGAGGACTGCTTGAGGCCGAGAGTTTGAGACCAGCCTAGGCAACACAGCAAGACCAGCTCTATTATAAATAAATGAATATTTTAAAACCCAATATGATTAATTCATTATTTTTCATGGCTAAGTCATACAGGATAGTATGATTATATTTCCTTCTTTGTACGATTCTGTTTTCTCTGGAGTTTGGTTTTTGCTTAGTTTTCTGAATACCTGTCATTGCTTTATTCTCACACTTTCCTCTAAATGTCTAACATCTCTCAATACAATCATGCATTGCGTAACTGTCAGCCCCAGCCCCACCATCCTCTTGCTCCAATCTGGGCCTGCCCTACAGCTAACAAATACAGTATTTTAGGGGTTCCCTTCAACATCCAGGACCCCCCATTACCCTTCTCATCTTGAAGCCTCTGCTTCCTGTATACCATCTCTTCCCTTTTCCTGGACCATTCCAACATTTGAATTTGAAATTTTTTCAGTAGTTTCCTGAGAAAGAATGAAGAGGAAGTAAATGTCTTAAGCATTTGCATGTCCAATGATGTCTTTATACTTCACTTGATTAATAATTTGACTTCAGCCTGTCCCTGAACCAAGAGAAGCAGCTGAGAACATCAGTGCTCTACGCAAGCCCTCACTCCCCAGAGGAAGAAGGGAAGAGCTGAGGCAAGCACATGAAGTTTTTTCTTCCCAAAGTCACCAATCAGGTGAGTCACTCATCTCCACTAAAACCAGGAGTGTTGCAGCTATTGGAGCTTCCTACTCCAGGAACACAACATTAGATATGGAAAAGCACACACGCTCACGCCTGTATTCCCAGCACTTTGGGAAGCCAAGGCAGGCGGATCATGAGGTCAGGAGTTAGAGATAGGTCTGGCCAACATGGTGAAACCCCATCTCTACTAAAAATACAGAAATTAGCCGGGTGTGGTGGCACGTGCCTGTAGGCCAGCTACTCGGGAGGCGGAGGCAGGTGAATTGTTTGAACCCAGGAGGCAGACATTGCAGTGATCCGCGATTGTGCCACTGTACTCCAGCCTGGGCGACAGAGTGAGACTCCATCTCAAAAATAAATAAATAAATAATAAATAAGCATATACACAACCAATTAAAATGTATATATTTGTGCACAGATAAAAAGAAAAGAAGAAGGAGCTTTTTCTTTATCTTTCCGGGGTATTCTATGTATATGCGAGAAAATATACAAATATCCCTTTCTTCATCCTTGTTTTAACACATAATAGCATTCTATACATACATAATTTATTTCAGACTTGGTTCTACATCTTAAAGAGTTTCTTTTCTACTGCTTCAGAGTATCTCATTGTATGACTGTACTATACAGCTGACCCTTGAACAGCATGGGTTTGAACTGCTCAGGTCCACTTATATGGAGATTTCATTATGCCTCTGCCACCCCTGAGGCAGCAAGACCTCCTCCTCTTCAGCCTACTCAATGTGAAGATGATGAGGATGAAGACCCTTATGATGAACCGCTTCTGCATAACGCACAGTAAAAAATATTTTCTCTTCTTCATGATCTGCTTAATAACATTCTTTTCTCTACCTTACTTTATTGTAAGAATACAGCATGTAATATATACAACGTATAAA